AGGGCTCTGGGACTAATGTAACTCATTTAATGTGACTAAGGTTTCTCCTCAGCCAAAGTGCCGACTGAACATTAGCCCCTGATGGTTAGGTTAGATAACTTTATGTGTACCCGCAGGTAGATTTGGTTTACAGTCAAAGACAAGGCATCCCTCTTGACAAAGATATAAAAACAACAAACAACTCAGACAACAGACAAACACCATACAGACATGATAAAGGATAAAACATAAAAGTGCCACAGGCTCTACAAATCAGGGCTTACAAAGAGAGAACAATAAAAAAAAAAACACTAAAATAAATAACCACCAGAATAAATGCAGGTAAAAACAAGAAAAACTCTGTGCCATGTTGCTACCACTGGTTGATCTGAATGACAGCTGCTGGAACAAAACTATTTTTACATCGCTTTGTTCTACATCTTGGGACTAAAAACCTCGGTCCAGAAGGAAGGAGCTGAAACTCACTGTGCAGGGTGGGAGCCGTCACTTAAAATGGAGCTGGCTCTCTGCTGTAACTGTCTGCTGTACAGGGATGCTGGGTTAAGCTGGGACTCACCAATCAGCCTACTGGACCATTTTACAGTGGGATTCAGGGAGCTTCTGTTCTTCAGAGAGTGGTTTGCAAACCATGGCACCAAAAAAAGGATCTAATTGGTTCTGTTGTCTTAATGCTAAATTTAAAAATAAGCTATGCTAATCCTGTCATAACCACAATGTAATTAAAGGAATTTTGCTTTTGTTTTTTCATGACACAATGGTCTAGACCTTTAGCTAGAATTGACTTAAATGGAGTGCCTGATACCAGTTAATTGCCAAGCTCACTGAAAACAGCAGTTGAATTGAAATTACCATGTGATTTTTTTCTTTTAGTTGAAGTGGTTGTGAAATCAATTTATAAACATTGTAAGTCCTGTCTTTTAAAGCTGTGGTAGGTCATTTTTATTAAAATAATTTTGTCTTCTAGTTTCCAAAGTGTCTTTATATCTGTAAAGCTCTGATTGGTTGTTTTCATTCAGGGCAGGTGGATCCTTCCAGATGTCATTAGGAGCACTAGAAGGAGCCAGAGGAACCTGATTGTTTCACAGATTATCAGTCTCACATACGACAGTTTCAGAAAATATGACAAAAAGTTATTTTATAAAAATCACCTACTGCAGCTTTAATTGACCAAACAGCAAATGCAATACCCAACCCAATATGGGTGGCAATGTAATTTACTGCGGTAGGTCAGTTGATTGTACATCATCTGGTTCCATTTCAGAATGAGAGCATTTTGTAGCAGTAAGATTACATTAATTTTAGACTGAGCTCACGCTGAAAACGACTGTAAACCCACATTTTAAAGCTGATATTTAAATAAAATCTTTGGAACCTTTTTTTTTTCCACCCCCGATGACTGTGCATCGCTGCAAATATCAGCTATTATCATAATGTCAATAGTCGTATTGGTCTCCAAAATACAGCCCTTGTTGGGCTCTAATACTGACATGAAGTGAAATCATTTTAATAATACTGATGTTACTGATTGTTGTCTGGTACTATTCCAGTGGATATATTGTTGTAATGATACATATTTCCAAATACAGTTGCAATAAAAAAATTAAACCAATAAATAATATTTGTCAACAAGAATGTTCCAAATATTTTAGTTTGTTATTTATTTGTCTTTGCTGCAAACTTATGTATGTGTGTGTGTGTGTGTGTGTGTGGGGGGGGGTGGGTGTGTCAGACGCGGCAGTTACATAATTAGCTGGCAAATATAGCCGGTGTGGACACACTGGCGTCATCATCATGTGGGTTTGTGTGTGTCTGTCTGATGATGAACTGTTATCATCGTCATCACAAATGAAAAGTTTGCATTCTCTCATGCTGTTACACACCACAGGACCATCCTCCACTCGGAAACATTTCTGTGTCACTACCAGGGGAGGGATGTAACTAAATACCTTTACTCAAGAACTGTTCTTAAGTACAAATTGGAGGTACCTTCGTACTAATGAGTGGTTTGCATCTTCTGGTGTAGCCTCTGTACTTCTGTTCATGGAGTCTTCTGCGAACAGTAGATTGTGATACCTTCACTCCTGCCCTCTAGAGGGTCTTTCTGATGTCACTAACAGTTGTTTAAGGGTCTTTTTTTACAGCTCTCACAATGTTTCTGTCATCAACTGCTGCTGTTTTCCTTGGTCTACCCGTTCAGCGTCTGTTATTTAGTACACCAGTGGTTTCTTTCTTCTTCAGGACATTCCAGTTGGTTGTACTGGCTATGGCCAATGTTTGTGCAATGGCTCTGGTGGACTTTCCGTCTTCTCTCAGCTTCACAATTGCTTGTTTTTCACCCATAGACAGCTCTCTGGTTTTCATGTTGGTTACACCTCTAACTATAAATGCACGGGCAAAACCCAAATCTGAAACTGAGCATAGACATTCAGCGCTCTTTATTGTTTGAATAATCAATGTTTGATGTCAAACCCAAATGTTTTCTGTCTACAGCAAAAATAAAAGAATTGTCCTCACTGTTCCAATACTTTTGGAGGAGAGTGTATATATTTTGATTGTCTTATTTTCCATATATTTTTTATATACTGCAATATAATATACATATTCTTATTTTACATTTTTATATTTTCTCTATATATTGTTACATATTGTAATTTAATGCACATATTTTAATGTTCTTATTTGTTCTACTTCTTTTGTCTTTGTTTAGAAATTTGAGCAACTGTAACGCAACCAATTTCCCCCCGGGGATCAATAATGTATTTCTGATTCTGATCTGAATACTTCTTCTATCAATGGTCACTACAAAAGGTTTCTCTGTGCATTCCATAAATTAAACATTTCCCATTTGTCACATCACTGATTTCTTTCCTACCTCTCCCTCCTGGGAAATTATAAAAATATAAAATTATGTTTTTTCTATCTATTCACTCCTTCCACCATTTTTCTGTGGACTGGAAGAACAGCAGCCTCTTAATGTTTTATGTGTTCCCCTCCAAATCTGACCCAACTGACGCAACAGGGGCAGCTCCTCAGGACAGCCTTTCTTCTGCTGGATTGGTCATTTGAAGCTAGTGGACCTGACTGGTCAGAAGTGCACAGGATACTGTATAAATATGGGGATAATTGCAGACATTTTTGAGCCAAATGCTAACATCAGAATGCTAACGGGATCACAGGGACATCGCTAACATGTTTAGCAGGTATAATGTTTACCCCCCTAATTTGACTGGCGGTAAATGCAGATTCCAAGGTCAATTTACTAGCAGAAAAATAAGAAAACTGTTTCGCTTTTTAGCTATTAGGAACCCAAATCCAGGAAAGCAAAGAATTAGCACTGATCATTTTGGTCTGCCTCCATCGAAGTGGACGAACCTGACACAGACAATACTGAATCTCCAGGAATCTGTGGTTAAGTCACTATATTTAGCTGTTCTGGTCATCTGTCCAATGTGACTTCACTGTAAACTAATGGACTGGTTGCACAGCAGACTTTTTGGCATGTCATAGCAGGAAACTCACAGGTGTATTAATTATAGCTGCATTCCACTTAGGGGAGGTCCTGCTATTGTGCATTGTGTCACTGTTACTGGGTCACTTAATGGAACTCAGCCAGTTACTATTGTTAAGTCCATCTGTGTGTTTCTGGCTTTGAGAAGTCAATGTATCTTTTGTGCAACCAGTCCATTACATTTCTAGTTTGTGCCCATAAAGCAACCTTTCACTACGAGCCGAGAGAAGTGGAAAACAGTCAGTTTTTGTCCGACTTCCTACCATACTTTATGCTATTTACAAGGTTCTTATTAGAGGGTTGGTCAGTTCAGTTTATGGGAATAGTCTGCCGAACCAAATTCCATTCTAAAAGCAGGTGTTTTGTGGTAGGGCCATATTGTCTCACAGTAAAAACTAACCTGTGATGTACTGACTGGCTGGTTCCCCGTTTACCATTTTAATTTTCTCTGCAGATGGCCTGAAGCCACAGATCTCTTCTTTTAGTGTCCTTTGCTCTTTGGGGAAGTAAAGAAAATTGTAAACTGGTTATAGTTTGATGTGCAGCTTCTACGCATGGTGCCACTAGTTTTTTCAGTTTGGTTGGGGCACTTCTATAGGACTTATTTTCACCCAAAAGGGACCAGTCTGATGACAGGATAATGAATAATACCAGCTCTCATCTACAATTGTTGAGATATTTCAGTCTGGACCAAAGTGGTGGCTGACCAACTAACAGACCAACACTGGCCTCCTGAGAGCTGCATTTCTAGCTAAACAGATCATATCATGAATTCCCCCCTTGGAGGACAATACATTTAATTGATTGATTGATTGATATGCTTTAGAAAGTGGTCAACATAATGTGAAAAAACACCAGTTATTTAAAGCCTCTTTGTGTAGGATTAGAAAATGTGATACTTTGAAGACTGACGGAAGCCACTGTAATAAAAACTGTAAAGCCCAGCTGAATGCAAAGAGTTCATAGAAGGCATTCTGGGAAATTAATTACTTAGGAAGAAGTCAATCAGGGTGAGGAAAAGAGCAACAAAGCATGTGAATCCTGATGCAGCCCCCTCAGTGAGCAGGACAGCTCACTGCCTTCCTGTAGCAGCAGAGTGACACCAAGCGGCCATTTTGGGTACTGCAACAAGGACATTGAATTAAGTCTTAGTTACAGTATTTTTAAAACTCAGGGGAAAAACAACATACCTTTGAGCTTTAAATATGGTAATAGAAATAGCTAAATGTATTATTTTATAATTCTAATCTAATTTTAGTGATATAAATCTACCCAACTACAGACACAAAAAATAAATTTAAACTAAAAAAAAAAGAATGACAACCTAAATCATTAATAAACAAAACAGACCCAAGAAAAAAACAAAACCTAACCCGGGCCAGAAAAAGAAATCCAAACATCAGATTCTGCTACGTGGCCATCGGATAGGTTTTTTGTTGAGAACAGTGATTTTGCAATAATACACTTGAATAAAAAACACATATGATAATACTCTTGGTGTCATGTTTGTTCTTTAATCTTCGATGGTTATCACACAGACCGACAAGTTTCAACATAAAAAGTATTCCAGTTCTTCACAGTATTGCATTTTGCACAGTGTTATACAGACTACAGAGTTTTTGAGTGAAGGCACAAAACTAGAGATTACTTCTGCAAACGAAATCCCTACAGACAAACATGATGAACCCAAGGATATCAAACTTGGTTTTACACAACATAAAACTAACTTTATCTCTACCGACTCACGGCAAGAAAGGTAGTAGTGTCATAATCAAACTAACAGTTAGAATACTTGTTCGGTTATGTTTTTACCCACTTCTCAAGCTTTTTTTCTCTTTCTGTCTCTTGCACATTTTCCCGAAACATTTGAAAACACAGAAGTAATTAAATTTATTTTCCAGACCTGTGCATTAACCCTGCTGATTGTCCAGTATACAACACTCCCTTCATATGAAATCCGACAGATCCGAGCGAAGTGCTCTGGGTTGGTTTAGTGCAACTTTCCTTCAAAGACTGTACCAATAAAATAGACCTCGCTCTGCTACAAAAGTACACATAGTAGTACAAGATAACAGTATTTTATAAGTACTTTTTTTTGCTACATATGAAGCATGCTTTCACAGTAACACAATAGCTACATATGTAGTAGTAGTAGTAGTAGTAGGGCTGTCTCATGCATCTTCCACCACCTTCCAATGACATACAACAGGAAGCAGTACAACAGAGACAAACCTGAAGCACTGTGCACACTCCTCCAAACACACACGCAAGTCTTTCAACAGTCATGCTGCTGTTCGCATAAAAACCCCAATCTGATTGTTGGTGGGATCAGTGATCGATCAGGGTTTGAGACCCAAGGGCCCAAAAGCTTTCATGCTGCTGATACACATATACGTATATCGGTTCTTGGTTCTTTCAATTAGTGAAAGCCAAAGACAACAAGGTTCAGCATTCATGTTTTTCTTTACTTGCCAGGTGGCCCACATGCACACTGGCGCTTCAGCTCATGAAACAATGTGTCTTTTTTTAGGGCAAGTGAGTTGCTAGATTTACTAGCACCAGGCAATCCTTATTGTTGAGCCCTGAACAAACAGGGTTTTTAGTTGACAGCAGCAGTAACGCTCACCAGTGCCAAAACTCACAAAGTGCTAAAGGACTCAGACGTCTGATCACATGTGGATCTCTGGAATACTCAGTGGGCAGTTTGTCCAAATTTATCTGGATCGTGTTTTCATGTGGTAAGAAGCAGTGGAGAGTGAACGTGACAAAATTCACGTTTACCCTCAGGGCCCATGAAGGCATCAAAACGACAGGAGGCTAATGCTTTTTAGCCTGTAAAACAGAATCAGGTATTCACTGAAACTGTTACATATCAGTCTGATCGGGTTTGTTCAACTGATGAAAGAAAATACAGGAAAACATTTGGCTTAAAAATTGGCAACTTCCAATAACTTTGGAATAAATCATAATTGACACAACTGCTAGTCAGGTCTTTGAAAAGGTGCCCGAAAGCTCTGTTCACTAAGATTTAATTATGAACTTATTAAATGCCAATTATAAATTTGACTATTTAAATCACTAAAATCAACTAACTTGAAACAACTATATATATAAAAAAAAAACACAATATATAATATGATATATACATAACATCATTTCAGGGACCTTTCTAGGACCTGCAGTCAGTCACCCTGTTGAAAAGTAAAAAGACATGTTTTGTGTTTGGGACCCAGATAAATGCCCTGCCAAGTTAAAGTACTGTAGGACTACTACTTCCACTTGACGACACAGAATAGCTTTGTATACAAAATATCTATCACCACTGTCAACAAAACCTAAACCACCGACAGCAAAGATACATTTTACACCGAATACCGTCTTTTACATATACATTCTTATCATTGGATGAGTGCAAAAATGACGTGTAAACAGATCGTACAGAATGATGCAGAGACAGGAATGATTCTATTAAACAAGCCGTCATGAGCTGTTTAGTATACTGCAAAGGTACTGTATGCATTCACGGCACTGTAAGTCACTTTGGATGAAAGCGTTGATACGACGTCATATATTTGTGATCGGAGAATCTCCACCCGTTTCTGTGTGAATGAGTGCCAGTTTAAGCCTGAACGACGAGACAAAAGTTAGGTCTTAAAACACGGCATCTCTTCAGTGTGAGCTATACGTTAACTCAAGAGTACATTCGTTATATGTGTGGGGTCCTCCAGACCTGGGCCAAACTGAACCTGCATGTACGTGGCTGGTTTTATCCGGTGATGTAGTGGAGGGTAAAATATGCAGTTTCCCAAAGACTGGAAGCAGGGTAACCTGCCTGGCTCCACCAAAAGTGAAAAAACCTTCCAAATAACTCCAAACCTGTTTTATTGACATGCTGTATAATTAAAGAATAGGTCTGATGTAATTCTATGTTTTTGTTATTGTCAACAAATTCCACAAAAAGACCCTTTCTCAATACTTTCTGACTTCCTGTCTGTGGCTCTCAGATTCAAGCCTGCTGGTTGGAGTTGAGAAACTTTAAAAAACACCCCTCAAACATATAGTTTCATGAATAAAAAAGGCTCAGTAATTTCCCAAAAGCTGCTCACTGTAGTTTTTAACAGACAGGAGGAAATAGTGCATTTGTTGTGGACTATTTTCAGCGGCGGATGAATCCACAATTGGCTCTCTAGTCTTTGTGCTAAGCTAGGCAAACACATGTACGACAGAGATAAATCTGATATCCATCTTCTCATCTGACAGAAAACAAGCTTACCACCAAAAAATGTTGCACTTTAAAAAAAGGTGCCATATTCTACATGACAAAAAAAAGTGTATCTGGGCTTACCCTCCACAACATCCCTGGTTTAATACTGCTTTGGTAGCAGATTGGTGGCTGATTGGCAACATAAGACCAAGACTGCCAGAAAAAGTAAAAATCACAATAAAGTATTTCCAAGTCTATATATCTAATGTTTCTCTCTATGTACAAACAGCGGACAGTAACTGGATTGGTCCTAATGTAGTGACACCTCCACAAACTAAAGCCAAGAATTATATGCAAAGTTCATTTGACTCAGGTCTGGTGTCATCAAACTCCTGTCTGTGCTTTACGAACCAAACCAGAGCTGTGAGGGCAGAACAACAACAACTCAATCAAAATAAAATGTTCTCAATGGATGAGATTACTCATTACCATTATATCTACAGCAATTAATAACAATTACAGCTACTGTTTCAAAAGCCACCAAAGATGAACAGGTTCAGCTTTGGTGTGCGTGTGTGACAGTATGAGTGGAGGATGGGAGCGACAGTTTTGTTTGTTATCTGTTTTGAAATTCTAATCTAAATCAATTATAACTAAACTATTTCACTATTATCATTGGCCAGATATTGCATTTCTGATGGGAACAGAAGCACCCAAATACGACCATGGGTTCCCCCTCGCAGCGGGACCAAATTTGAATCAAAAAATGCTATACAGCTGCAAAAAACGACACTAGGAGTCTTAAGAGAGAGTCTAGTGGCTACAGAGGCGTCTGCCTGACCTGCCTGAAGAGGAACAGACTCCATCTGTGAGGATGAACCCTGTAACCGCCCCTACAGGGGGATGCTGGTGGGGGTGCAGATAGTGCAGGTTGGATGTTTGTGCAGTATATATGGAGCTTACAAGGATAAGGACAGATTTACCATTCAAAATGTTTCCAAACGATGGGTTCATGATTTCAGACAGAGGTAGACAAGAGCAGGCTCTTCATTTCTTACCGGGAAATGGTGATTTTGTCGGCTAAAATGAAACTGTTGCTGGCAGATTTTATCAGCTGCAGCTAGCAAGCTAATTAAGCTAACTTTGACTCCATGAGTTGGTTGAAACCGCAGTCTCCGGCTGACCTTTTAATGCTTCAAACTGACTCGTTTTAATAGACGCTTGATGGCTACATGCATGCTGAAAGACTGGGGCTTAAGCTAACAGTTCCCATAAAGAAACACTGTTAGCTTATGAACATCACAAGAGAAAAGGTTTTTAAAAGCTTCAAGGCTTAGCTCTGGTTGCTAAGCTAGGATTGGACAGTGCCTGTTTGGTGGAGGGTTTCAGCGAACAGTCGATTGACGACCTACGTCAGCTATCAAGATGATCACAGGCAGTGATCGCTGCCGTTTGGCCTTCAAAGCACAGACAGAGTCAAGATAACTGGACTGATGTGGACCTTTTGGGGAACCGGGCCGGGATGTAAAGGTTCAACCAGAGGAGAGGACGTGTCATCAACATCACTGGGAACTATTTATCCTCATTCCATCAGATTCAGGAAGAAGACTCTCTTCAAAATTCAACTTGCTTCCATGATCTGACCTCAACTGTAATCAAATCAGTAGATGAATACAAAAGCACATTTTTACCTGAAGTTTCTCTAAAATACAGAGATGATTCAGAATGGAAGTATCACTAAAGACTGAGATTACCTGTTATACTTTACTAAATATTATGATTTGTGCTGACAAATGAAACAAAAGACTAGAAGCTATCATTCATTTATACGTTTGAATACTGAATGTTTACATCCCGAAAAAGCACCCAGTACCTTTATAATGGTCTATTGCAGTATGGTAATCTATGGAAAAGAACTGTGTTATATGCAATAACACAGCGTTACCAATACAAAATCTTCAATACAATGCAACGCCACTGTGGTCATGCAATAATATTTGTTATTGCATTATTATGTTCTTAAACCCTGTTATGCAGTAATAGTTACTGTGAAGTGTAATGTGATTTCTTCAATTTGAAGCTATTGGTAAAGTTACTTTTGCACTAGTGTTTGTAGTCATTCTCATTGGGATCTGCAGCCGACATAAAAGAGTTATTGATTCATACTTTAGTGTAATCTCGTCTCTTATGTTCTATGGTTTTGTTACTTTGAATTATAAAAATAATTTCATACAAATTGCTATGGAAGCATAATTCCGCTATACAATGCTATACAAACATTTAATTTAACATCTGTAAAATTATTTCACATAATATGCAAAGTTTCTAGGAAATTCTGCAAAAAACCCTTTTTTTTAAAAACTAAAATGTGTTGGATTCTTTTCATTCTTAACTATTAATTAACGAATACAATTTGCCAATCAAGTTTCTAAGTTTATACCCTCCTGCACAATATATGCAGGAAACTCACTTACATTTAGTCTGAATTTACAGAGGTTCAAACATTTTCATGTCAAAATAAGATTTTATAAACAACTACTTCCTGTTCCTGCTTTAATCATCACCTACTAAGAAATTGAAAAATGCCATTTCAAAAATGTCACCATGACTCAGAAGTTATTGCTGTCCAGAAAAGTTAGATATTTTAGTCAAAACAACAAATGATTTAAGCATAAAAGGTTTGTCTGCACTCTTCTAGCTGTATAAGAGCATCGGAGGAGATTTACATTTACCGCAGTGTATTGTTTGAAATGATTATACAGAAGCAGGAAACACCTCTGAGTTAACTGCTTTAAAGAAGCTGGTTGTGAATGTGAGCTCGCAGTACTTTTCCATAGGTTAACACACTGGAATAAAGTTATCGCTTATATAAAGTTTTACCCTTTGACACCCCCTCTCCCTGGTGTTTCTCTACAGTTCTACGTCTCGTACCCGGCGGACCGGCGGCGCTGGTGGTTCCAGATGTCGTCTCTGTGTTCAGGTCGGCAGAACAGCCTGGACGACTGGGCCAGCCGCTCCCGGTGCTCCAGCTCCCGGTCTCGCTCTCTGCCCGGTTTGGAGAACAGAGGACGGCTGCCAAACTTGGAGGAAGAGTGGGTTCTGCTGTCGTGGAGACCAGACGAGGAGAGCTGACCTCCCGCTGACCTGGAAATGTCATATGAACATGAACAAATAAACATATTAGTAGGGAGGAGGTTGTAAACCAGACCCATTTTTGCAAATTTTATCAAAGTTTTGAAACTTTTTTTTCTTTTTCTTTTACAAAAGATCCTCCAATGGGCGTCTCCTTCCGTCTGTTCTTTAAAAAGCCACTAGTTGTTGGCTCCAAGCAAAGTCAATGCAGACCGGGAACACCCCACAAGAGCTGCAGGTTTGGAGATGACCCAGTCGTCTAGCCATCACAGTTTGGCCCTTGTCAAAGTCGCTCAAATCCTCACGCTGCCCATTTTTCCTTCCACATCAACTTTGAGGCCTAATATATCCCACCCACTGACAGGTGCCATGAGTACACATGAACAGCACTCAAGACCACCTTTTCAAGTGGACCCTGGCATGGTTTGTTGGTTCGTGCCCGGGTACGGTACACAGTGTTCACACAAACAAAACAAACTGGACTTTGGGGTAAAATGCACTTGGATCCGGGCCCAGGTCCCTGATGTGAAAGCCTCCTTAAATGACAAATGACAATGTGAACAATGTGTAATGACCATGTTTTATTTTCATACAAATTTTGATCAAATTTGCAGAAAATCGACAATGAATGCATGTTTATGTCCCCTACTGTTAAGCAAATATTAGGATAAACATATTGTGGAGCCAATTCTCCAGGTACATAAGAAGACACCACAATGAGGCTTAGGGTTAAAACACTCACACTAAAAGCACACACACTGTGCAGCACATAGACAGACAGGTAATCCCACTCCAGTGACTGAGTGGAAGGACAAAGTGTCACATGTTTAATGATGAATTAAACATGGCAGCAACACGGAAATCAGACAGATAACACAACAGTCCCCATGAATGATTTATCATCCTGTTGAGCATTAAGCCTATTTATAGCTGAGTGTCATAAGTGTAAGGTGATTTTCTATTTAACTAATAACTATTGTGTATTCTTTTGTCTTTCAGAAAGTCACAAAACTTTCATGAGAATCCATCTTGCCAGGCTGCGAACTCAGCACTTGTACCTGACCACAGTGGTTTTGACCAATCAGTGTCCAATGAGGAACAACTGGCAGCTACCTCATGAGTTTACGGGCGGGGTTTAATGTAATACTTATTTTTTAAAACATTAGGGTTTTCACCCTAAAGGATCTAGAATTTGCAGAACTCTGCTTAAAACCTCCATAAACTGGTGTGACGAGTCCCAGGTCGGTGCATTGGAGGTACTCACCTGCTTTTAGTGATTCTGTGAGGTCCATTATCAGTTGGCTGCTGGTGCTGACGAGGGCACAGAAAAGGTCAAAGGTCAGATCACGTTTTCACGACAACACTCGTCAACAACGGTCCAAAAACAGGCAGGAAATAGCTTGCAAACTCAGCATTAATTCAGTGTTTGTAAAGTAAAAGTACTCATTATGCAGACTGGACCCTGTCAGTGTGATGTTGTTATTTACCACCAGTATTGGTTTGTTATTATTGAAGCTTAAATGCAGAATATAAGTAATTTCTGCCACTAGGGGAAACAAAAGATGAAGTTTGGTGACGTTTTGGCATGGGATCATGGGAGTTGTTGTTTTCACCACCATTGCCGTCATTGCAGTCAGCTTCTCCCCATTAGGATCTTTCAGTGTTCATGGTTCAGGAGGTTTCTACCGGGAGCCCAGTTATCCACAGAGGTCTCCTCCTCTCCAAAACAAACAGACCCGCTGATTAAAACCACTAAACACACTGAATAAAGCAGTTCCACTTTAAAAATCACTGCTTCTCCCACGCTGTTGGACAGAAAAGAAGAGGGCGCCAGCTGCGTAACGTTAGCTCAGCTTGTTCTCAAACTTTAGATCCAGACTGCCGATGACTAAATCCTTCATCTGGTTCAATACTAGAGTGAAAAAGCACCAAGAGCTAAACAGTGGATGGTACAAATGTGGCTTCAGACTGGATACAAACTCTTATTACTTATTATATGTTTGGTGGTAATAATTTTTTATATCTTCTAAAATAAATATATATTTTGTATGTAAAACCAAAAAAACAGAGCCACGTTGAGCAACTGAAGTGTACATTAAAAAAAAAAGGGAAAAAATTCCAAAAAAAAAGCTTCAACAATTAGTGTCCTCAGTTTCAAACCTTATCGTTGCTAAAGAGGTGATAAAATCTTAGTGCCCTCACACCACTATAGCACGCAAACACAATCTCCTTGATTGACATATTCCTCAGCCTTCTGTTGGTTTTGTGTACCTTTTAGTGAAAACCCCCCTGTACGTATTCCAGCAAACCACCAAACTTTCACCTGACCAGGGTAATCAGTAAATAAAACACCTGTGTGAGTGTACCGAGCCTTTCCTTTTAAAGTAAAAAGTATCTATAGTCAAAAGAATGTAGTGGAGTTAGTAGGAACATGGAAATGAAATACTTAATGTAAAGTTCATAGAAATGTACTTAAGTATAGTACTTAGGTAAATGTACTTAATGGACTCTAAATGTGTGTGCCGTTGTACCTTATAGTGGTTGCACTGTTGCGGGCTGCCATTAACCTGGTAATACTCCACCAGTCTCTCGGCTAGAGCGATGCGTCTCAGCAGATTCTCGATGAAGCGCTGGATTCGAACTTTACCACACGTCTCCTGCCGAGCTGCTGCTTCCAGAAACTTCTGGATGGTTATCACCTCCCTGGAAAACAAAAAATACATTGAAGTACAGCACTTGAATAGATACATTTAAGGCCTTCAGAAACATCAGTCAAACCTGTTGCCTGTTTACCTCTCTCGTCGTTCCAGCTCATTCTCCGAGGCGTTAAGCTGCTCCCTCAACGCGGCGATCACCATGACAGCGACGTCCACCTGTCGGCTCAGCGACCTTTCCCTCTCCGCAACTTCCTGCCTCTCCTGGGCCAGGTGCTGCGAGTGAGCGCGCTCGCACAGGAGCTCCGTGTCGGTCTGGGCGAGCTCCGTGCTCACCTTGGCCAGCCGGCGCTGCATGGTGCTGTCTGCTGCTCGAAGGATGCTGGCAAGTCGCCGACGCACTGCGGCCGTGGCTGCCGCCGTCTCCAGACCAGAGTACGAGTTCTGCTCTGGTGGTTACAGGAAAACAGACAAAGTTTGACACTATCTGACTACTAATCTACAACCCCATTTCCAATGAAGTTGGGACGTTGTGTAAAACGTAAATAAAAACAGAATACAATGATTTGCAAATCCTTTTCAACCAATATTCAATTGAATACAACAAGATATTTAATATTCAAACTGATGAACTTTTTTGTTTTTTTGCAAATATTCACTCATTTTGAATTTGATGTCTGCAACATGTTCCAAAAAAGCTGGGACAGGGGCAACAAAAGACTGGGAAAGTTGAGGAATGCTCAAAAAAAACCTGTTTGGAACATTCCACAGGTAAACAGGTTAATTGGAAACAGGTGAGTGTCATGATTGGGTATAAAAGGAGCATCCCCAATAGGCTCAGTCATTCACAAGCAAGGATGGGTCGAGGTTCACCACTTTGTGAACAACTACGTGAGCAAATAGCACAACAGTTTAAGAACAACGTTTCTCAACATACAATTGCAAGGAATTTAGGGATTTCATCATCTGCGGTCCATAATATCATCAAACGATTCAGAGAATCTGGAGAAATCTCTGCACGTAAGCGGCAAGGCCGAAAACCAACATTGCATGCCCGTGACCTTCGATCCCTCATTGCATTAAAAACCGACATCAATGTCTAAAGGATATTACCACATGGGCTCAGGAACACTTCAGAAAACCACTGTCAGTTAACACCGTTCGTCACTACATCTACAAGTGCAAGTTAAAACTCTACCATGCAAAGCGAAAGTCATATATCAACAACACCCAGAAACGCCGCCGGCTTCTCTGGGCCCGAGCTCATCTAAGATGGACTGACGCAAAGTGGAAAAGTGTGCTGTGGTCTGACGAGTCCACATTTCAAATTGTTTTGGGAAATTATGGACGTCGTGTCCTCCGGGCCAAAGAGGAAAAGGACCATTCGGATTGTTATCAGCGCAAAGTTCAAAAGCCAGCATCTGTGATGGTATGGGGGTGTGTTAGTGCCCATGGCATGGGTAACTTGCACATCTGTGAAGGCACCATTAATGCTGAAAGGTACATACAGGTTTTGGAGCAACATAAGCTGCCATCCAAGCAACGTCTTTTTCAGGGACGTCCCTGCTTATTTCAGCAAGACAATGCCAAGCCACATTCTGCACGTGTTACAACAGCGTGGCTTCGTAGTAAAAGAGTGCGGATACTAGACTGGCCTGCCTGCAGTCCAGACCTGTCTCCCATTGAAAATGTGTGGTGTGAATATTGGTTGAAAAGGGTTTGCAAATCATTATAATCTGTTTTTATTTACGTTTTACACAACGTCCCAACTTCATTGGAATTGGGGTTGTATAATCTATAAATAGAACTTGGCTCCAAAAGGTAAAGGAAGTACGTAAGCTTGAACGCACCAACCAGGTCCAGGTCTAGGTCCAGTTCTGGGTCTAAAGGGGGGCCAAGAGGAGCTGGAATAGGGAACGGCAGATGATGGTGGTTGAGGTGATGGTGAACTGCGTCCGACTTTTTGACGGACATTTTGATATCCTCCTCATTTCTACCTCCATGTCTGTCTTCACCTTCCTCCTCCTCCTCCTCCTCCTCTTCTCCCACATCTTCATCTTCTGTCCCACCTTCTTCTTCCTCCTCATCCTCAGCCTGCGTCCCCACCCCGACACTCTGGGTGCGTCTCCTCACAGAGCTGTAGGAGTGGAGGTAACTGCTGTCTCTGCTGTCACTGAGGGAGCGGACGTGAGGTGGTCGCCCCGTGCTCTGCTGCCCCCGGCGGGTCGGGAGGCTCATGTCGTGCCAGGGGATCGCCGCCGTCAACGGGTCGGGGAGTTTACCGGTGATGCTGAAGCCACCAGTAATCACGTCTGGCGAGCGGTACGAGTGGCGGTACTCCAGGTGGGCACGGAGCGAGGCCAGGCTGCGGAAGCGCTCCTGCTCGCCACAGCGGGGGCAGCGGAAGGGGAGGTCGCAGGAGGTGACGGTGACGGCGCCACAGGCCTGGCCGTTCCTCTCTAAGAGGAAAGAACCAGAACCTCTGGAACACAACTTCTGCTGCATCACTCTACACCTGGAAGACGGAGAAACCGAGAAGAACATGGTGGTGTTGATGTAATTACTCAATTAATCAATAGACAAGAACTATTCTGAGAATTGATTTTTGGCAGAAATAACAAAAAATCTCTGCTTCCAGATTCTCAAATGTGAGGATTTGCAGTTTTTTTCTGTTTTTATGTCAGTGTAAACTGAAAATCCTTTTTTGGATGTTTGGTCGGACACAAAAGAAATTTAAAGACATTTATCTGAAATGTTGTGTCTGTGCTGTTGGTCAGATAAAACAAGACATTTGATATCACCTTGGGCTTAAGGAAATTGTGATTAATTTCTGACATTTTACAGACTAAACTACAAATGTATTTATTGGGAAAAAATTATAGAATAGAATTGCTAGATAATGGAAATGATCTTTGCTTAAGGCCTAAAACCGCACAACTAGTCATTACAGATTGTAAGTAAGTGGAGTGTAGAGATGCACTGATACTGATGTCAAGAAATTGTGAAAAGTGCTCATAACGATTTCCCAGAGCCCAAAATCACATATTCAGCTTGCTTCTTCTGTCCGACCTATGGTCCAAAACCCGAAGACTGTTCATTTACTATCATAAATAACAAAGAAAAGCAGTAAATCCTTAAGAAGCTGGAACCAGCAAATGTTTGACATTTTTCTTGAAAAATGAATGAAATGATCGGTTATCAAAATTAATTTAAAATAAATTTTCTTTCAATCAATTAATTGACTAGTGACCTAAATGTAGCAGCAGGTTTGTGATGGAAAGGTCAGCAGCAGCGGTATTATTTACGTTATGGAGAAAATGTCCAGTTCAGAATAATAACCCTTGTTTCATAATATAACTAGAGACGCATTAAAGCTGGTAAAGGTGGAGCTATTCCTTGATATTTTAAAGTCGCTTTTAGTGGTGAAGTTGCAGATTGTAATTCCATCGTTTGAACCTCCCCTTTCAAGCGTAAAGGAGAAACTATGGTGGCTGTGAAACACGCAAAAAAACAACAAATGACCTTATCTAGAGCCAGTGTTTGTTTGGTTCGCTCACAGCTACTGTAGAAACATGTAACATCATTATTGCTGGCCTCCATAACAGCTCTGCCCCAGAAAGCTCTCCCTGGCCCTGCCCGCAGCTGCTGTAGATAAAACGGCTCAATTTAAGGTAACAAAAACACAATGAGTCCTATTTGATTATACATCACAATATAATCATAAATAATCATAATCTGAACTACACATTACTGAGTAATTAAGTAACTAGGAATTAATGTTGTCACATAAATGTAGTGGAGTATTAAGTACAATGATTGCCTCCAACAACATGTAGTGGAGTACAAATATAAAGTAGCATAAAATGGAAATACTCATGTACAAGTACTTCAAAATTGTACCTTAAGAACAGTAATTGGAGAGATTTTTTTTCAGTTGCAGTCCACCATTGATTTTCCTTTTATTTCCAGTCCAGTTTAATCCAATTCAAATGTCTAACTTCCAGCTGAAATGGATGAAATGTGTTCTCTCTCTGGGGAAACATTCAGCAGCAAAAGTGCAAAACGGACAAAGCATCTAACGTTAACCCGATTTTGCATCGCTCATTGCATAATTCTGTCATTTTAACACGGTCGTGTATATATCAATGAGTTCAAATCTAATTCCTATATTAAAAACACACTGTACCATCATGGAGCAGCATGGCAGCACACTGATTTGCGTTGGATATGTGAGAGCCAACATGAATTAAAGCCAAGAGGACAGACTGGATGACAGCCGGTGACCTGAGCAGACACACGGCGGCTTTATCCTCCAGACACAAACATAACAGGATATTGTTCATGCTACAGTTTCCCTCCAGCGTCCATTTAATTCTGCCTTTGAATGAAAGGCAGAATAACAGGTCAGTCCCTCACACAACCTTTAGCATTATCAGCCAGCGGCACCGTTAGCTCTACCTGCTACTAGCTAACGTTAGCTAGCACAGACCGACGATCGCTGAATCATGACTCAACGGACAACGGTTACCGTGCTGCTCTTACCGCGTGCACTTCAGTGGCAGAGTTTAAACAAACCTCTAACCGTTAATGTCTGACGGTGTCATGTCGCAGATGGAGACAGAGAGCAGTCCGCATGATGTCATTCATTCAGGAGACACACAGTGGACCACCGTCAAGTTAGACACCGAGCAATGACTACGCGGCTTCCGGTTAGCCCTTTCAAAATTAAGCCTAAAACGTAATCGTGAACGTTACTTCCGGTAAGGAGAAAGATAAATTGATTTAGTCCCAGGGCGTCAAAAACAGACTCTTTTGGACTCTGGGACTCAGAGTCCACAATCAGCTATCTTCAGGTGTCCAACCCAAAGCGTCTTCCTATCTGATTGTTTTCATTCAGGCCCCGTGGATTCTAGCAGATAGCAGTAGGAGCACTAGGAGGAGCCAGAGGAAAACCGGGTTTCTTTCTCAGATTATCTGTCTCATGTACTACTGTCACAACCATTGAGAGTATACACTATCAGCAATAACATTATGAGCCCCTGGGCCCCCTGGTGGTCATAATGTGCTGCAGCCCCAGACCAACAAACTGCTCTGCACTGTGTGTTCTGACCCCTTTCTATCAGAACCAGCATTCACTGTTTCAGCAGTTTGAGCTACAGTAGCTCGTCTGTTGGATTCAATGAGCCTTGGCCCCCCATGACCCTGTCTCTGGTTCTTTTCCTTCCTTGGACCACCTTTAATGGGTACTGACTACTGCAGACCGGAAACACCCCACAAGAGCTGCAGTTCTGGAAATGCTCTGACCCAGTCGTCTAGCCATCACAATGTGGCCCTTGTCAAAGTCGCTCACATCCTCACACTGCACATTTTTCCTGCTTCTAACACATCAACTTGAGGACAAAATGTTCACTTGCTGCCTAGAGTAAAATAGACGATAAGGCACAATCGGTTCACACTTGGTCAGAACACAGTGAACATTTCAGAAATAATGAAATTATTTACCTACTGCGGATTTAACTGAAATAAAAATAGAAACTAGACATTAGAAAAAACAAAACTAACTGAAATAAAAATAGAAACAATGTCTTCAGTTTTAGTCTTTGTAAATTTGATCAAATTTGTCAACAACAAACATGAGACTGGGATTTCTACACGACTGTGAGTCAATTGCCTTCACAAAGTGTTTGTATTGTAATACTTGTTCTGAACTACTAAACTAACACGGAAACTAATATAAACTCTGGGAAAGAGTTCCAAGCCACAAAGATAGAATCAAACAATTTCAGATCAAATAAGTGAACTTGAAAGGAGTTTTATTTCTCATCATGACCATGTACAGTGATGTACTATACAGTATATACAGTACATACAAACAGTGATTGTGCATATTTATTATAGCCCATAGAAGTATCGTTTCAAAGCAACAGTTACACAACCAGAGAAGTCTGTGAGTAGCTGCCAGTAGAAAGATAATTCAACTGTTATGTGTTTTAATCAGGTGTAAAACATTGGTAAATAAAACAAATCTGATACGGCAGAAAATCCAATCCAGAGGGCAAACAAGAGAATCTGATAAACTTTGGTCCGGATAAGTATTTGCTCAGAGCAAACAGAAACCAACTTGGCTGAATGTTTCCAAAACTACAAACCATTTTTCTCTTCACAAAGTGCCATTAACAAGGTCCACTTCTACTGTACACTTCTATCAGTAATTATACAGTCTTTAATTTGTACAGCATTTTTCAAATTATTCAGATTGCATTGCTGTCTGCCAGCACTGGGGGGCACCAAAGTTTTAATCCTACATAAAGGAGACTATCATGCAGCCTTTAACAGGTGCTGACAGGTCACACCTCACTGTGATGGCTTTTTTTTTTTGTTTGTTTTGCTTACTCTCCTGTCCATCTTTAAGCCAATTAATGTTCTGTCTGTAGAAACTGACATAAATGGCGGCAAGCTGCACACATAAACTCCAGTAACCTCTGTTCTCTAACTGCTAACTAATATTAATGTGTTACTGAACTTTGAAACAGGTGTCTGTCAGGTTTTCAACCCTGGTTTTATTTGTCTCCCTGGACCCAACTAGACTTCAGATGAACCCATGGTGGTGTTTAAGGAATAGTCTGACCTTTTGGGGGAATACCCTAATTCGTTTTCTGGCAGAGAATTAGATGAGAAGATTGATACCACTCTTATGTGAAGCTACAGCCAGCAGCCAGTTAGCTTAGCTTAGCATAAAGACTGGATCTGGAAAAGTGCAGTTGTGGGTTGTGTGCCTTCTTGTCTTGGAGCTGTAATCTTATATTTAAAGGACAAATATAAGAGTGATATCAATCTCCCAAAATGTTAAACTATTCCTTTAATGTTCTGTGTTGTAGAACTTGTACAGCAACAAAACTTAACATATTGGTCCGAATAAGACAATAACTCATAATGCACTTTTTCCCTTCTTGATCCCTCTTTCTACATTCTCTTCCTTCTTTCTTTGAGCTTGTCACTAAGGAACTTTTGGCCCTGAACTGAGCCTCTCAGGCAGTGTTTCCTTTCAGATTACTGCCTCCAACAACCTCCTCTTACAATTAAATGCTTCAGGTTAAAGATGGTGGGGGGGTTGTCGGACTCAGATCAGGGCAGTTAAGTCCCGCAAGCTCTTCTTTTACATACTTTCCCTCCCTTTTCCTCTTCTCATGCCTCCTTGCTTTCTACTGACAATGCTTTTGGTAGTCGAGTTTGGCTCCCAGCCTGGTTCCTGCCAGGTGCTTGTTGAAGGCTTCATCCATCTCTTGGCTTTGTTCTGGTGTGAAGTGATTCTTCCAGTCCCCAACCTCGCCTGCCCAGGGAAAAAAATAGTATTCAAGTCAACTTATCTATAGAACATTTAAAAACAACCGGAATTAAAGGAGCAGTGTGTAGGATTTAGTGGCATCCAGCGGTAAAGTTACAGATTGCTACCATTTGAACACAGCTTCGAGCATTTAGGAGAAACTACAGTGTATGCGAAAAGCAAAAGGCCCTGTCTAGAGCCAGTATTTGGTTTGTCCATTCTGGGCTACTGTAAGTCATGGTGTTTCAACACGGCAGACTGGGTAGAAGAGGACCTTTGATAAAAAAAAAACGGCTTCAACGGATTCATGCATTTTGCATTTTTTGCATTTTGGCTGGTGAGAGAGCTAGGAGGGACAAACTTTTTTTAACTTTTTCTTTCATTTGCTTGAAGAAGGGTCCAGCATTTGATGTTGTTCAGATAGTCTTGTGTGACCGGTAGGTAGAATTGTGGATCATCTGCATAATAGTAGTACAGAATATTGTATTTCTCGAAGATAGAACCAAGTATAATGATATGATGTATAATGAAAATAAGAGAGGGTCTAAAATTGAGCCTTGGTGGATGCCTCATTTAATAGGAGCAGGAAATGAGGGGCAGTTTCCTAAACTCTTGAATTTGGATTTTCACTTAAATTTCTTCTGAAGTAGCTATATAATAATGAAGTTATATTCTGTATCTGTGCACTTAAGTTCACACATATGAATGAGAACACTCGAAAGTTCAAAAGTTAGATGACTAGATTAATGTCAATGTCTCATCTTGAGATAAAGTTCCAGAAGTTCCAGTCAAATACAGTTACAGCACGCAACTCTGTACTCTGAAAAAGAGCAAATAATAAGCAAACTGTGCCTTTTAGTCTCCCTGAATAGTTGATTGATGGTGCTTGTACTCACAGAGAATACAAGTTCAAATGCATGCAATGACGCTTTTCAATACAGTTATGTAATTTTCCATGACACAGCCTTGTGTAAATATGAGTCATTCAGAACACTTGGACTCTGCTGCTTCACCGTAATTTGCTTGAAGTGGACTACACAAATACATGTTACAAAGCCAGGCTTTATTTAAGCCCAGAGTTTCTTAAGACGACAAGTATTGTACATACATGCTAAATTACAGGAAAAATATTACACAATACATTGATATAATACGGAATACATATTACGTAACACATATGTGCAGTAAATATGCACATTAATGTATAGAAAACAAATATGTAGTTTTTTAGTAATTTCAGTACAAACAACACTTCCATAAAACGTTTTGTTAAAAAAAATATTCTTAGTCTTTCATGCACCTTTCCTGAAGATGATGTTTCCCACACCGGCATGGGAGTTAGCGGAGTTCTTCTTCATGGCGTTGAAGGTGCTCCCCTCTGCGATCTGCTGGACCTGAGCCTCAGTCAGGCTGAAGCCAAAGAACGTGGTGATCTGACGGATGCTCTCAGTCAGGTCCTGCAAGACAGGAAGTAGAAGTGGAGCTGTTACAGACAGACACTTCTACCAAAATTCTACCACTAACTGAATATTGACTGTGATTGATTTTCTCTCTGCAGCAAGTTTCAACCCTCTGCAGGTTGATTTTTCAAATGCACTGAAACCAGCAACTGCCTGAAAGTAATACCTTCAAACACTGATGCATGATTTGGAAAATGGTCAGCAGAAACTATAAGAAAGCGCATATGAATGTATTACATCACAAAAGTGATAAAGTGACACTGAGTCAGAATGCCTCACATACTCCACTGGAACATGTTATTTTACATTTTCTATATATTTGCATTGAAAAAATCAGTGTGTGATCTACCTGTTTCAGTTCTTCATAGGTGACAACCATAACACTGGGGTCGTCCATCCTCTTCTCCCAGGCCAAAGCGTGGTCAAAATAGGACCCCCAGGAAACTAGACACACACATACACAAATATGGTCACTGAAATGCTGCTGAAAGAACAGTGATATGTGACTTTCATATCTAAAGACCTTTCACCCTTGTGTGCATAGTGAGCTGTAAAAGGAATACCCCATCAGCAGCACCTCAAACAAACTTTTATACCACGAACAGATGTTTATCTGTGTAAATGTTACATTCAGTGGTGGAAAGGAACTGAGCACATTTACTCAAATACTGTATTTAAGCTCAATGTTTGAGGTATTTTTACACAAATGTATACTCCAATACGTTTCAGATTATTATACTTCTTACTTCACTACATTTATATAGCTATCATTACTCATTATTTTTCATATGAAGATTTTACATACAAAACATGTGACCAGTTGTTATACAATACTAGAGTCTGACAGATATATTGGTTGGCCAATATTATTTAATATATTTTATTCCATTCTTTGCAAATGATACAGCTTCACCATAGCATCATATCGTCATGCGTGTCCGGCCATTCTGTCCGAAGGTTTGTTTTTCTCATGCTGTGAGGAAGGGGCTGTCTGCCTGAATCCATATGAATGTAGCATTAGGAGTTCAAAAAGCCGGCATGCAATAACAAAGGCTGAACAGCAAAGTCAAAACACAATAGACCATCTGGCAGAATATGAATGGAGGTGTACTAAGGTCTAATAGGGGAACAGGTATGCACTGCGTAGGAAGGTGGGGCTGGTCTGATGATGGGGATAAGAGAATGTGATAAGTGGCTTGGCAAGCACATGGCCATGCACGAGAGCTATGAAGTTAACCTCTGTACAGCCCTGTAATCTGGGTGGTGATGGTGATTGACAGTCACGGCAGCTTAAGATACATATTGCAGACACGACAGAGTACTGTCCATTTCATGCTACTTTGTAGCTTTAGTCCACTTCTTTTCAGTTGTATGTATTGTACTTTCTACATTTATGTGGTGGCTGGTTACTGTGTAGATTAAGATTTTACAAAATAAAAACAATAAATTGGAAGTTTACTAAAGCTTTCCAGTGAGGTAGATCCTTAAAATACTTAACGGTCAAGGTAGCAAGAACGTTGTGTTAGACTTTCATAATCATGTGGGGTTAATGCTGTGAGACAGACACAGGGTTGGTGGCTTGTAGATGGTTGACTGTTGAGTCTCATTCCCACCTGTTGATGACCCGGGAACAAGACTCAACAATCATCAATCTTTCTCTGCTCTGATTTGTTGTTTTTGTTCAGGCACAGTGGATTCTTGCAAATGCCATTAGGAGCAGTAGGAGGAGCCAAAAGAACTGGATTTTTTTCACAGATTATCTGTCTCATGTACTACACACAGGATACAGTGACAGTCTATTCTATTCAGTCTTTTAGCCTCACAGTGACCCTGCTGAGTCGGCTGTACAAGCTGTTTACTAGCCCATAAACACAGCAGAGCTCAGGATCATGAAGTCAAACTGTGAATGTACACATGTAAAACAGAAGGTGGTATTGTGGTGGGTGATATACGGCGGGGGGTTATGGTCTGACCTGAGATTAGTTGAAACTCACTAACTTTGTCACAGATCTTAAAACTAGTCTAGTCAGTAGACTGCTGGTAGCTGTTAGGATGACATTTTTCAACCACTACCTGGCATTGCATGTTTTGTGCTCAGTACTTATTTTATTCTTTCAGCATATGCTGGAATTGCTTGAACTCAGTGCCTGAAATGGCCTGAAATACTTAAAAGTACTGAGTATGGGCACTTCTCATTTTTGTCCACGAGTTCCCTTACATTTTATTGGGTGTACCTCCACCTCTGATGAGCAAGGCCGTACCCACCACTAGTCCGAACCTCAGCATTTTTTTTCGAGGGGTAGTAAGAAGTAGAAGTAATTGCCAGTTCAGTTTTTGGACCTTGGTATTTCTAAAACCCTATGTACGGCCACGTAACTATGTCTCTGTGTTAACACATAACTTAGGGTTAGGGTTGTGCTGAATTAGAGTACTGGCACCTTTTTTGGTCCAATTCAGACCCTGCTTGAACTTAACGCAAAACTTCCATTCAGTTTCTCACAAGACATCCACTTTGATTTGGAATTCGACACACAATATACTTTATTAAATTAAATATGAATCAGGCTAAACTTTCCACCAAGGAAAATGGCAACAGACTTTTGACTTAGTAAAATGCCTCATCAACAAAAAGTGGTCCACTTAATAATCAATAGAACATGCTTATTGTAGTTTTTATTAAATGCCACTGTCTGCTATGTCTGTGGCTCACCTTCCCCACTAATGAAGTTGGAGTAGAAGGATTCCCAGGACTCTCCTGGGAGGACGGGGTTGTTGTTGGAGAAATGATAGTAGGAGACCAGAGTGTCTTTAGGGTTTCTGAAGATCACCAGCATCTGTACAACACGCAGCACAATAAATAAAAACATTTAAGCCATTGAACCAGTACACTATAAAAATAGATAAATGAGAAATAATTTGAAATCCAAATAAATTCTGAAGTGATTCTGAATCAATATGATGAAGAACTGTGCTTTATTCCTTAATTTCTACTGTCCCTCTCTACTTTATCCTTTTCCATCTCCACTGATTTAAACTCAAACCAGCTCTATATGAATATACAAATCTTTGACGGGACGCTGTGATCTCCTTCACTGTTGTCTGCATTCACAGAGTTGAAAAGCCTGCTGCAGAAGTCTGTGAAACTTACTTTAGTCTTCTTTTCATAGAAGGAGTTGGGGATGTTGTCAGGGTGCATGTGAGTTCCCAGAAGCCTTGGAGAGGGAGCTTCTTCCATGACCTGAGGGGAGAGTAGGGTAGGGAAGATAGGAGGAGTCAGCTTTATCTATTACACGTTACTTTTATATGCTAACAGAACATCAGCCAGAGTTTTTCACCAAGTCCTCATACCTGAACAGCAGAGTAGGTCATTTGTCAGCTCCTTCCAAACAACCCAAATGATCTCTGTTTTCTGATCTATGGTGAAGATTTGGTTCGCCACAAAATAAAATAACTGCCCAATCTGACCTCAATATGCTACATGCAAAACACAGCTGGTCTTTGGCAACAGTATTGTGTATATTTTTCATTCTATATATTGCTGTGATACACCATACAGTTATTACCAGATTTCAGTTTACATTATATTTTATATCCCATATTATAATATACTACTGTACACTGTAAAGCCTAACAGCATATCTTAATAAAAGAAGCAGGCTAACACAACTTAATCCTCCAAAAAATTGTTAGTCACTCATCCCATGAATTAAACCCAAATCAAAAATAAATTAATAAAGTAATAACTTCTGGTGATATAATTACAGTTCGTTCCATTGACTCATTTTCTTTACATTGACTTTATAAAAAATGTAAATCCCAAAATAAATTGGTTACCATATTGATAATCAATTAATTGTAAATTGTTTTTATCGTACGTCAGCTGTTTTGACAGGTAATGTAATCATTTGTTTTAGTTAAACAAAACTGAGTAAATGTGGTAAAAGTGGTAACATTTCTATAAAAAAGATGCATTTAAGTTAGTCTTACTTTATTCAGATAAATTCTGTTGACACATTTTAAATACGTTTGGAGAAATGCGGAATAAGAGTATAATATAATTACTAGTTTTAAGTACAATTAACTTAATTTACCTTACATTAACAACAAATTAGTTCAATAATAAATGTTTTCATGCTTAAAATGTTAAATTAAAATTGTTTAAGGCAATTTACCTCCAACAGTTTGAATTGAACTAACTCATCAGGTCTTATATATGTTATACTGTTTTATTACATATATAATATATTATTAAAATTTCTATATAAATGCAGACTATATACTTATCACATTATATATTATAGTACTAGTAGATGCTATCATATTACTCTTACATATACAACACTGGTCGTGGGTACTGTACTGTATGTGCTTGAATGTGTTTATTCACACATCAAATGAATGAAGGATGGAGGTTAGTTTTTTGCATTAACCTAACCACCACAGGCTTCAGTTTCAAAGTCCTGAACATAATCTGTGGTTAGATTAGTGGTATATAAATGTGATTAGTATGAGAACAGGTTAACTTCAATTTATCTAAAAACACACTGACCTAAAGGTAGATTGCGAGCAGAGTTGTGTCACTAGGAAATGCCCCATATCCATAAAAAACACACACAATATTTTGTCTTGTCAAAAATTCAAACATAGTGGGAATAGTAGATAGACGAGGGAAACAAGGACTGTTGCTCCAGCTGACTGCACCCGGTCAGGACAATCACACACATAAACCCCCATAAAACCACAACATGACACTTCAGTTTATGTATGGATGGGGCTTAATTAGAATACAGCAAAGTATTCACACACATTATTGCACCAAGCCATGTGTTACTGATTGAACAGATGAAACAGGCCCTGCAGTGTGTTTCACATCTCAGCTCACAGTGAGGTTTCCAAGAATTCTTTAATGGGAACCTATCACATCCTCAAAGTACAGAGACGCACCCAACCACCCGCTCGCAGAGAAAGCTTTTTCGGTTGTGAAGGAAAGATAGATATGTTCCCCTGGGTGCTTACCATAGGGGCCCCCAGACCTCAGGTGTTTAAAATGTAAGCTGACCACTAGGACCCTAGGGCCCCTCAGCACTTACAATGTGAGGGCTCCAACAAGTAAAGCTATCTGTCCCTCAGGAAACTCTGAAGCACTGAAAGTTGAGGCAAAGCAACTGGAGAGCGTACAGAGACCGGAGCTAAACCAGCTTGTTTCAGTCAGAGGATGAACTGAGGGGCCAGAATAAGATAAATTGTGAAATCTGTGAATCGTGCTGCGGGGGAACAAAAATATAGAGCTAGAAATGAGCATAAAAGGCCCCCTTTAAAATATAGTATATAGTATAGCAGTATATCTGAATTTCAGTTTGAATTCTTTTATTGTTTTTTTATAAATAGGGTGTGTGTTTTCTGAAAAAACAGCCGTCTCTGATAAATGCCTTCAGGCTTTAAGGCAGGAAAAGCCCGGGCAGGCTCAAACTGGTGCATTATCAAACCACAATGACACTGAACTTTGTTTGACTTTGGAGCAACAATTTGGATATCCGAAGTAAATAATCAAAGCACAGATTTGAATTGATTCTGAACTAAAACCTGAGGTAAACTGGTTGACACTTTTTAAAACCAGTGCATAACCCTATTTTTGTTTTATAGATTTTTATGGATATTTTATATTCAGTTTTATATCTGTGGTCCAAGTTAGTTATAAAACTGGTTCAAACCAGAGATAAACTGGTTCAAACCAGAGATTAGCTGGTTCAAACCAGGGGTAAAATTTATAAAATGTCTGTTCTTTAGAGTAGCAGTTTTGTTCTTGTGATGCTACCTCAATTTGAATAATTGACACAGCTGGTTTTCAACCAGTTAAAACCTGTTGGAAACTGAGGGGAGTACTACGAAGGAAGGTGGAAGTGGGTTAGTGAGGTCACTGAGGAGAAACATATCAGAAATTGATCGTCCTCCCTCCTGGGACGTCATTAGTTTCTGTAATAAAATATCTGCACAGCCCCTCAATCGATAACTTCACTCTCCGATCTGGCTGGGGATCAGATTAAGAGACTGCGAGTGAACCGCGATGTATGAGTCACATGTTGTAAGCATGTAAACAGCATGGTGTAGCTGCACAAGGAATTTCAGGTTTATGGTCCTTGCAATATTTCCTATCAACAATGTAACTGCTTGTGTTTATTTGTGCTCTTTTGTATGGATTTCCGTTGATCTTTGTGGATTTGTGAAAAGGCCCACATAGGGACGAGCCCTGCAAACTAATGGAGACTATAAACACTGTGGTACGTGGCACCGGTCCATGCAATGTGCTTGTTCCCTAAAATAAATAGTAAATAAAAAAGCCCTTGTATGTGCACTTTGATCAATTACAGCATCTGTCAAGTTATTTGAAAGAGTTTGGTGTGGAGGAGGCTGAGGCTATTTAGGTGAAAACTGTCACAGTCTGTGGCCTTGTCTGCACAGGAATGGTTTATCCTGCTTTAAACACATGTGAGGCCTCAATGCAGTGTGTTGTGCTGGCTGGTTGCAACAACTCTCCATACTTTACTTTCACTGCCACGCTCCTTATCAACCGTATTTTACTATTGTTTGCTCTATCAGAAACTCTCAGCCTGGCTGGTCTAAAAGTTTTACGCGAGTAAAACTGAACTTTAAACTTTACCTTCCTGGTCTCTGAGTCGTGCTGTTGGGTCCAAACCTGGTAACACTGAGCTGTTACACACAGGCGTCTTGGATTTAGTGGCATCTAGCGGTTGCACGTTGCATCTAACTGTACACCGCTCGCGTCTGTATTTGAAGACAGAACGGGCTGTGAAGTGTGCAGGAGAAACTATGGTGGCTGCAAAACACACAAATGGCCCTATCCACAGTGTTTGGTTTGTCTGTTCTAGGCTACTGTAGAAACACAGCGGCCTCCACAGAAGGCAAGCTACAGGGCCTGTAGATAAAAACAGCTCCTTCTAAGGTGACAAACACACAACGATCCTTTTCAGGTGATTATACACTAATGAAAGCATACCTATATATACCTCAAAGTGCAACTTCATTAGCAGTACCATTCTTAAGAAAAAGCTGGATACATATACACAAACAAATAGATATATTCCAACCTCACTCCCAACATGTCATATACTGCAGCTTGGTCAGTGGCCCTCTGCTGACTTAGTATAGCAACATCATTATTTTGAGAAAGTTTCGCATTATAATGACTTGCAGAATCCTTTTATTTATATATTACATATAATTATATCTTCTAAATAAAGAAAAGGAGAGTTCCAAAGCTTTCAGTGGTGGGTTTTCTTTGGTAGTTGAAACTGTTCACAATGTGTGTGGATTATCCAGAATAACCAGGCAGTGCTTCATAAATGTTATATTACCCACTGACAAAGCTCTGTGCTGACAGTGCTTTTACTATGAGGACCCCTCAGTTTTGGAGCCACCTGCCTGAGGAGTTAAGCTTTCATAAAACCACATTTATAGACTTTCTTTAATGTCTTTGTATTTATTTTATTTTATTGTTTTTATGGCTTTTATTCTCTCTTATGTTTGTATTCATTTATATTTAATCACGTTATGTTTTTCAATGGCTTTCGCTTACACAGTGTTCTTTATTGTAGTCTTGCCTTTATTTGGCCTTAGTGCCTGGCCATGTTGACTATCCTCTTTTTTAAAGCTGCTATATAAATAAAGGTATTATATTTATTCAAAAGCTCCATAGAGCTTTAGTTGTCATTGTGCAACTATAAATTACTCCTGTCACTTTGCGCTCATCTGACAAATGGATATATTGATTAATGAGGCTGTCATTCTGTCACTGCAGTTATCTCTTACATAACATTCAATGCAGGTGACTTGACAAAACTCACACCATCACAATCACACCTCTCCATCTGTCTATCTACACGGCTTAGCGTGCAACCTCTATCTGCCCATCTACAGTAGACTCACACACACACACACTCACATCCAGTGTGTACCTTTAAGGCATCTGGTCCAAAAAACTCGATCAGTGGCGGCATCTTGGATTCCGTTTTCATCCCTGTGGCCTCTGTAATGATCTTCCTAATCACCCCCACCATCCAGTTAAAACCTGCACGCACACACACACACACACTCATGTTTAAATTCTGGTTAATATGACAACATCTCTGATGATACAAAACACTGTATGTTAACCTGAATTACAGGGAAATGTGAGTAAAATACTGCAAAACACTTTTACATGGTAAGTACACACATTCTTTACTCAAGCAGAAGTACAGATACTATAAAGACTCTGGAGTATGGACTGGTAGCTGGAGAGGTGCCAGTTCAACGTCCCGGGCACTGTCGAGGTGCCCTTGAGCAAAGGCTCCACCATCTTTGCGTGTCGAGCCCTGTATGTGCATGATTGTATTGTGGGCCTATGTGTGTGAAACACTGAATGAAAAACTTTTCCCCATTAGGAATAAACTATATCTTCTTCTTTATTAAGTAATGAAGTACAAATACCTCCTCCTTCCACCTCTGGCAAAAATAACTGTGTTTTTGGTTTTAGTATTTCCCTCAAAGTAACAGTAAACAGATACAACATATACTGAATATGTGATCCTCACAAACACTGGGAAAACGTTTTAAATTTGCAGATACTTCAGGAAAACTGAGGGGAATTCCGTCTGAGGAACTTCAGCTTATTTAATGTACATTCTTTAACCCACTGCAGTTACACTTAGAGCTAAAACACAATGAATGATAATACCTTTAAACTTTATACATTATGGACTCTGCAGCTGCTGCACTCTCTCTCTCTTCTGTCTTTTTTGGCAGTGAGCCGGTGTGTTACTCTCCAGCTTCACTGTGGGGATAATCCTGTTTCCCCGACAGATCCCACTTTTAAACAATGACTCTGGATCACATCAGAAACATCAGGCTGGGTAATAGAAAGGCGTTTATGGACTGGCTTACGACCTGTCAAGTTTAATGGAAAAAAAAATTAAATTGCTGACATAAATGCTAAACATAAATTTTCTCACAGATTTGTAGCATCTCCAATGAAGAGCATCTACTGGAACGTTTCCCACTATGTTTCTTAAAATACAGACCACTTGCTTTAGGAATACTATTCAACAGGAGTTGTACAGGGTTTTTAATGCACATTCAAACTCGTTTGACCAGTATGAATGTTCAGTATTTTTTCCCCTGTTTTTTGCTTCCCCAGATTTCTCTATAAGCAACCATCGGTGCTGTGACATACATAAAAATGCTTTGTGCTTCATGGGTCGTGAGAGATTTAAAAAATATTGATACATTTAAGGAACACATTGCGGCTAACATGGTCTTCTTTCTTCAATTTGTCTCTGTAGACATTTGTTTCTGTTTACAATACAGATGAATGGAATGGTGGATCAAAAAGTATAAATCCTTATAAAAAAGTATAAAAAAACAATTAGTATTTAGACTGACACTGACACTTGACACTGAAATCTGTTAAAGATTCAGAGGTTTAATATGGAGCTACTATATGACTCCCTTGAAAATGACACCTGGCTTCTTCAGAATAATTCTGTGGGGAAAAAATGGCCTCAGGGGCAGAAAGGAATGAGAGAACCAGCTTTAGAGCCAAGCAGTGCAGCACACAGACATCAGTGACAGGAGAAAATATTACAGGCCAATAAACTACAGCAGACAGTAAACATGAGAGCGCTGAGGTGAAAGAATCCTCCTTTATCTCCTCCACATATCACAGAGACACCAGGAAGCCATTATCTGCAGCGCTCTGCTGTGTGACACTGATTGAACTTCCTGTAACATCAAAACAAATGTTCAGCCGTTTACAAAGAGGATCCCATTGGCTTAACTGGTGGAGGTTATTTATAGTCACACCCCCATAGATAAATAGTTCTGTTGTCCCCTATGCGGGCCCCAGTCCAAACGGGCCCCCATGCTTTGGGATGTGGGACAGGTTTGTGTGTGTTAGCTGCCATTCCACCAATGGCGATTAACTCATCTGTCTTTGCATCCTTTTTCTCCACCAGTGAACTGGTTTACAAAAGCCTCATGAAAGGACACACCCCAAAAAGAAAACATGTCACATTCCTTGAACGCACCACGGCAACAGCAGGAATGTCACACTTTTCTCCTTTGAGAAACTACACTGTGCTTTGGGTTAGAGGTGGTGTTACATGGTGCTTTTAAATATCAAATCACCACCACATTCATTCAGGTATTAGTGCAAATTTATGCACTGCACTACCCAGAATTCCTGCAAACTGGCTCACGTGATGCTATTGACCCAGGAGCGGATCTAGAGGAATATTTATGGCATGGAGACTTTAAGGGGTGGCACAAATATATATATTTAATCACAAACAATCACATATATCAATATTTGCCTGGAAAATCACCCAAATGAAGATATTTTAACTAAAGGTCCCATTAGAATTCACCAAATTTAACTTTTAGCCTATTGCCTAGTCTGAAATGTGGCCAAATTTAAAAATAACCTAAATTAACAGGTGTTCAATTTAATATTCAATTTAATGATCCAAGTGTGACAAGAATACTGATGTTGCATTACTCAGCAGAACTCTGGATTACATTCACTGCCAACATTTTTCAAATTCTCAGCATGCAGCTCTAAGTAAGATTGCTTCCTGCTTCTGAGCATAGTTATATGCAGTTTGGTTAGTTTTATGCAACACAAGTATATTTGGTTAGGTTTAGCAAAAGATCAGAAGTTGTGTTTGGTACTTGACAAATCAGTGTTGACTTTTTGTCTCACACTCTGTCTGTTTGTCATCAATCCACCCTGTAATTCTCTCTATGTGGACCTTGTCACTCTTTATACTACACCATCATACATATGTGCACTATTCACGTCTAGGCGGCACAAAATGTTGCATTTGATTAGCGGATCTATTACAGCTTTGCCGTGAGACTGGGCAGAAAGGACACACTACTTCTTACATTGGCAATGAAAGCATGTACCCGACATAGGTCACGATGGGTGGAATCGTCCAATATGAACGTGACTACCATGATAGTCTGTGGCCCCCTTTGCTTCAAAACACTCACTGTAGGTACCCCTGTAGCATCAGCAGTATAAAGAAAGGCCACATTTAAAGGTGATGGGCTCAGGAGGCGGCTCTTCACGTCCCGTATAAAACCAAAAGTAAACTATCTTTGAACTAATACACTTTACATCGGGTTACATCAGGTACGTAACTTATAATTTTTTCCCAATCCTAATCAAGTAGTTTTTTTGTGCCTAATCCTTATCAAACTGTGACTGTTTTGCAACATTAATCACGCAAGCTTTATTATAAACCTCTAACAAGATGTTGCATATTTATATTAAACTTTACCACGGAACCCTGCACGGCCAGAAGCCGAAGTCCACTGACTAAAAGGCTGTATTTGACGAGGTGGGACTGGATCACATTTTCAACCTTGTCAGTCATCTCGCGATCCCTCAGGTTTACCTTGTGACCTCTTGTCAGGAACCTGATCCGCGGGCTGGAAACCAGTGCACAGTCCCAGTGATCATTCATCAGTTTCTAGTCCTTCCTTGCTCACAGCTGCTGGTTACAGTTTATTCTTTGAAAATTCCACTGCATAGAACTGAAACTTGCAACCACTGTTACTTTTATCATGTTGCTACCATATAATGAACTCAAAAAGCTTAGTATAAGAAGGTACTACATTCACTACACTTTTCACAGTGCTGACACTCATTTATCATGCAAATCTGATTGAAATGTCCAGCTGTTGAATCTAAAATCTTATTTTATTTAATGTATGTATTTCTCAGGGACACTGCACATTAATAAACATTACTGTAAATATGCAGAATTGGCCAAGAGGCTAGTTTTCATCTGTAGTCCCTGGCCGGCCAGGTGTCTGTTTTCTCCACCAACATGGAGCCGGCTATGTTCTGGTTCACACACGTATAGTAGTTGTGAACAGTTTTGAGCAGTTCAACCAAAAATAAAGTAGTCACAATGTGGTTTCACAAACTGGTTTGGTAGCTGACAAACGCTACCTCGTCTCCTCTTTTTCTCCCCCGCCCTCCGTTTTTGTGCAGATGTTTGTGGGGAGTGCTGATTGTGGTATGTGTTACAGCTCATTGACTCAAGTGGAAATTACATACATACACAAAGGAAGTTAGTAGAAGACGACTTTCCCCTTCTAATCACTGCAGTCTGTACAGTGTAAGGAATAAAAGAAGCTTTATTCTCTATAGTTTATTTTGTTAGTATAAAAAGCAAAAACTGTACTGCCGAGTTATTTATGTGTTGATTCTGTTGTCGAATTAACTACCTTTCTGTTTCTGCATGAATCATCTGATGAATCATGTCCGTCTCACATTTGGTTTATTCAACTGATCACTTTATTTTTCTTGCGAAGTGGCGAATAATTCAGACATTCACTGGAGAAATCAGATAGAGTAAACCAGCTGTTGAGCTCTTTGCATTTGCAGCCTGTCGTGTATGTATGTTGATTTTAAAGATTTACCATGCACCTCAGTTAAATATTTCCTTCGACAGAAACACACTTGTGGGATATGTTTCTGATTGAGGGGGTCGAATGACATAACATCTGATTCTGATACCAAACTTAATCATGTAATTCCAAACAATTTCCTTTGTGTGACTCCTGAGAAGAAGTAACTGTAGTAGTTATTATTATTATAAGTTACACTATTTCTAACCATATCTGCACAACCTTTAATCCTGTATGCAGCTAGAAAATACTACTAATATCAATATTTACATTTTAGGCATTTGCTGATGAACTCTGTAGTGACTTACAGCTAAAAACCAGGCTTCACTTTCACCAGTGTTACAATCATTAACACTAACTGGCAAACAAAGGTCAGAGGTCACAACAGTTGCATCAAATGTTCTTGTGACCTTATTAAAACTTTATTAACCATTTATGCATTTAACTCCCCAGACTGAACAGCTTCTGTTCATTCATGCATTTTTGTAACTGGATCACAGTTAACTCACCACATTTGGGATACGCTACCAGCATGATGTCATCCTCTCTGGCCGTGATGTTTTCCAGACTCTTTAGATGATCCTCGGGGCACATGATGCGTGGGTACAGCACCCCGTTGTATCTGTACAACTTCTCCTCGTCACTGATTTCCTTTGCCATCTGCATTTTGGACTGCACGTTGGCGGCGCTCATCCTGAATCAGTACTGTGTAGCTGCACAGATCAGAACCCTCTCCTCAAAGTGAGTTAAAGACAACAGTTTAAAACCAACTGCAGCTTCAAAAAAGAAAGCACACAGAGTAAACAGGGTGTAGCCAGAGAAAGAAGAACTGCCTTCTGTGCAGCTGGGTGTCCATCCACTGCTGCCCTGCAAGTGAGTGAGCAACAGTGAGAGAGCGAGAGCAAGAAAAAGGGACTGTGTGTAGTAATAGTAAAAGGAGGAGGTGCCTGGAGACTCCTCCTTTTATTACACTACACACACACACATGCAGGAAAATGTGTATGTTCATGGAGGTGTGACTGATGGGAGATGCCTGTACAATGTTCACCAGATGGGAGGTACACACTGACAGACTGACAGCAGACCCCCACTCTCTCTCTCTTTCTCACACGCATACATACGGCATATAATCATCATGTTTTTCACTTTCTTCTTCTGTGAGTTTAGTTTCTTTGTGCAGCTCAGACTCACAGTCAGAGTCTCTACAGCTTTGGGCTCTACAGCATTTACAGCAGCGTCAGCGGTTGCTCTAAGAAATCCCCCACAGAAACCTCAGACAGAAGGAAACCTTGAGAGAGGACATTTTACAGGCTGTTCCCACTTCCTCAGACAGCTGGGGTTGTAACATAAACCTTTCCAAAATGAATAGAAAGATGATGTTTGGAGTTCATCCAGCCTGTGTTCCTGTTGTGTAAGTGGGCCCGCTTGTACTTGCCTATAAGGTTTAAGCAATAAAAAATATTTGAATTGCTCTTTCACCAGGGATAAGCTAATGATTATGACAACAACTCCAGCAGATTTATTTTCCACTTTTCCCAATACTTTATTTTCTTATGCTCTCTTTCTATGTTACTGCAAACCGGTATCACGCAAAAGCGTGTAATACACACGCCGGTCCACTGTGGCAGTGTCCCATTACAATAAATATGCAACGTAGAGTTATTTATTATGGTACATTATGGTATGTACCTGACGCAAGTTAATACATTATTCATCCATCCACCTCCTCTCTATGTGGACTTTGACGCTCTATACACTGCACTTTCATACACACGTACTTTTCACATGTAGGAGAGGCACAACGTGTCACTGACACGATATCCTCTAGTGGATCGGTGGGTCTATTACATGCTCATGCACCAAAATATCCAAGGCAAATTCCTTGAAAACCTGGGAATAAACTAGGAAATAAACCTGATTCAGAATGTGTTCCCTTATTCCTCACATCTTTAAATGGTATTCCAGGGATTTACTATTGAACTTCCAAACATACTTGCAGCTCTGAAAAAAGAAAGGTAGAAATTTAAGCAAGAGACGTCAAGATATCTTGAGTTTTACTCCCTAGTATGGATCTAGAGCAATAAAACACTGGATCCTACATTTCCCATGATGCAAAAGCGATAGCATATTTTGCACACCTTTAGTTTATAATGCAGGCTTTCTGTTAAAAGTTGGTTTCTCCCCAATGACCATGAAATCATCAGGTTCTTTACTCAGATGGGACAAACTTCACTTCCGTTCTTTCTCCCTGTGAAATTCTGTTCATATACAGCTCATTTTAAACAGCAAAAAAAGGAGTCACAGGCTGGATTAAAATTATATTTCTACTAACATAAATAGGAAATGTAAATGGCACTTCTGGAGGTAAATGTTTACTAACAACGTATTCCAGTTGTTTACCACCAAAATATCAGGTCTTGCAATAAAATATCTGCTTGTAGGACTGCTGCATTATTGAACTTTTGAATGTTTAGACACACGCTGCACTTTTCTAGTGTTTTGTTGGCCAAACCTAACCACACACAGGACTCAGGATGCAAACCCCGCTCTCTGGTGTCAAAGCCCTGCACTTTGTACTCCAACCATCGACCCCGACCATTATGGTTCATAAATGTAACGCTTCATTCACTCAAAAAATTAATTCACGATATAAACCTATTCCAATGACACAGGTTGGGTTCCCCTTAAAGAGAGGTTTAGGATCAGCATTTCAAATACTGTAGGGCAGCTTGTAGTCAGATTACAGGATGTGGTTTTCCAAATATAATTAATTTCACATCCTCTCCCTTCAACTGTGGCCAGAAGTGGGAACCATTTGGTAATGGTACTTTGACTTTTCCTACATATCACAAAATCCTTGAGTCATTCGTTACTTCTTATATAAACCTGTTGAAATGCTCATTGTGGCTGTTGTTTTCCACCTATGGTTGAAAAGTATGTGGACACCTGAACATTGGAGCCATAGTTGAACATGTAAAGCCAAAGCCATGGTCATTAATCTGCTGCTCTAACAGCCTCCACTCTTCTGGTTTCAGGCTTTGCTCACATAGCTGCTGTTATATAATGTGCATTTTCCCTGTTAATGAATAAGATCCCCATAACATAATAAGCGAGTGCCACAGAAGTAGTAAAAGGTTATGGATTTTGTAACATTTTAAAGTAAATTAACATAACTGCTCAATAGATCAGTGTCCAATCTATTAACACACACATCTTTATTGCAAATCTTCATCTTGAGTCCACAAAACAGTAATTGTAATAAAACAGTGTTGCAGAAAGCACATTTTGTGTAAATCCAACCTTCAAAAACATAAAAGGATAATATAACATTTATCTGGACAAATGCCAGACGGAGCTTAACAGGAACATTTGTATGATATTTCCTTCATTCTCTGACACATGTGTTTCATTTAAGTGGAGCATTATAAAGTCAGCAGCGGTGCAGACATGCTGTCAAAGGGTTTTATAGTCTGTTTCTACTTCACATTAACTTTTCAGTCCTTTATGAAGCCTCCGCCGATGCACAGTGGATAGGACAAGGGTTGAAGTCATAAAGTAATATTAAAAGATAAAAGTGTTATTTAATCTTTTCATTAGTGTCACTTACTACCCCGAAGAGCCCTGTTTGTCGGACAGTGCTGTAGGAGTGAGTCCTAAAACGCAGAACTGAGTTAGTATTTTTGCGCCTCCGGTTCCCTCTCCTCAAAGTCAGTGGGTCTCTTTTAATGGGCTTTGGGTTAGATGCCTTAAATAAAGTCTGGTTAACACAAGCTTAAGAGATTCTCAGATTTTGTTCTACAACATAAAATATGTCAGTAAATACCCCACCTGTGAATTTTAACTACAGCTCCGCCTGTACAGCCTCATTGTGCTTATACTTACGCTCTTGCAAACTATTCTAACTCAAACTGTCCAACTTAAAGTTTTTTGAAGAAGTTTGGTGGTGACATTCAGGATGATCTATTGTCAGAAACTGAATATAAAGTATGTTTTTTTTTATTTGTGTATAATCACCTGTAAATAGGATTGTTATATTTTTGTTACCTTGGAATGAGCCATTTACATCTACAGAAGCAGAATGTCGTCTTCTGTGAAGTCATGTTTAAATGGTATTCCAGGGATTTACTATTGAACTTCCAAACATACTTGCAGCTCTGAAAAAAGAAAGGTAGAAATTTAAGCAAGAGACGTCAAGATATCTTGAGTTTTACTCCCTAGTATGGATCTAGAGCAATAAAACACTGGATCCTACATTTCCCATGATGCAAAAGCGATAGCATATTTTGCACACCTTTAGTTTATAATGCAGGCTTTCTGTTAAAAGTTGGTTTCTCCCCAATGACCATGAAATCATCAGGTTCTTTACTCAGATGGGACAAACTTCACTTCCATTCTTTCTCCCTGTGAAATTCTGTTCATATACAGATAACTGAATATAAAGTATGTTTTTTTTTATTTGTGTATAATCACCTGTAAATAGGATTGTTATATTTTTGTTACCTTGGAATGAGCCATTTACATCTACAGAAGCAGAATGTCGTCTTCTGTGTAGTCATGTTTCTACAGTAGCCCAATATTGACAAACCAAATGCATTTTCACACATTTTGCAGCCCCTGTAGTTTGTTCTTCATGTTTGGAAGGAGAAGGTGAAGCAAGAGGACTGCAATCTGCAACTACACTGCTAGATGCCACTAAAAATAAATATAAAGTTATTTGAATAAGGTGACCAAATACGGAAATCAACTAAAGCATTGTTATTACACCAAATATGGTGATATGTCATGTTCTATATGTTATATGGCCTATGCATGAAGAAATATACATAATTTTTCTTTGCCAAACAGTCATTCACAGACAAAGCGGACCATTGTATATATGTCTTCATACATGTCTGACAGGGATCTTTAAGTGTGTTTTTTTGCAAGGGCTCCTACTCTAAATGGGTTAAAGGAACATTTGAGTGAGAGCTCTTGTGGTACTGCAACTAGAAGTATTTATTATGTATATCACTGCGTCACAGTAACTCTCATGTGAAAACAAATCTATGTGATCAGACCAATCAGCCTGACTTTACACATTATTGTCAAAGCAATCTATACAATGAGAGAGCTCGACGGAGCCAGATGCTGCTGAGATATCAAAGCTGCTTTTCTTCCACAGATGCCCACTGCTGTGCAGCAACTATCAGCAGTATTATTGCGAATGCTCATGTTGCAGGGGCACTCATCTGAAGGCTGACAAATGTGGCAGGAAAATAGACCCTGAGGCCTTTCAGGGCTGCAAGCCAGATGGAGAAAATACTGTTACTGTTAGGCTGCACTCCTCGTCTGTCTCTCTGTCTTATTCTCTTTTTCAGGTCTCTTTTTATTTTTCTTGTTCATTCTTTTGCACGTAAGATTTCAATTTTATAATCCTTTCCTGTTTCGACCCCTCTTTGTCCTCAGATATCACTCTTTTCTCACCCTCCCTTACCCTCTCTCTTTCCTTCATGCTGGCTCGCTCCCTGTCCCTCTTTCTCTCTCTCTCTCTCTCTCTCTCTCTCTCTCTCTCTCTCTCTCTCTCTCTCTCTCTATACATTTCTGTGTTGGTCGCCCAGGACCCCACTCAGCTCGGGGGCCTCACAGCATCACTTGACAAACAAAAATCTCCATTCACTGCCATACAAATGAGCAACCACATATTCCACAAACACACTCAACTTTGACCGAAATGTGCAAGCACACACACACACACACACAGAGAGAGAGAGAGAGGAAAATGACATCAAAGAGTTCTAAGGGGCCCCAGACATAATACACACATTTCCACGCTTGAATCTGTCACGCTTCCTCTTCTTTCTCTCGTATTTTACATGAATACATGAGTGATTTTTTAAACCCTGTTGACTCCGTCTGGCTTGGTTCAACTGCAAAATGGTTACAGTTTAGATATTTTTGGTTGTTGCAGTGACCTGTGAACATCACCATGAACCCATCTTGGATAAACCTGAACACTTGCTTAATCCACGAGAAGGTCTGCAACCAATGAGTAATTTAATTAATCTTTCTTGAATAATTATTTAGTCTATAAAATGAAAAAACTAAATAGTGAAAAATGTCCATCACAACCCTCAACCAACAGTCAAAACCTCAAACTTATTCAGTTAACCACAATAAAACAGACTTAAACAATTAATAATTTATAAAAATTGTTGCAGATTAATTTCCTTTCAACCGACCTAATAATTCATCGACTAATTGTTTCAGTTGTATGTAAAAGTAGCTGAAAGTGTAAAAGCCTACATTTTTAGTCTGGCTTTTGCTTGGAATGTGTTTTTTTATATATTTTGTTTCTATTTGTTTCTCTTTACAACTTTACTTACATTAAAGCTGCAGTAACATTAACCTTTTGTCATGTTTACTGAAACTTTCACTATATACTAACAGTAGAACATGAGACAGATAATCTGTGAAAAAATCAGGTTCCTCTGGCTCCTCCTAGTGCTCCTAATGGGATTTGCAAGAATCTCCTATGCCTCACTGAAAACCAATCAGAGCCAAGAAGGATAGTTGATTGTTGAGTCTCATTTCCAGGTTGTCAAATACTGATGCTTTTGGAGACCCAGTAATCAACTATCTTCATGAGACTCAACTATGTTTCTTGCCTCTGATTGGTTGTTTTCATTCAGGCCCAGTAGATTCTTACAAATACTAGTAAGAACACTAGGAGGAGCCACAGGAACCTGATTTTCTCACACACTATTTGTCTCATGTACTACTGTCAGAATATAGCGAAGGTTTCAGCAAATATTACAAGGAGTTCTTGTTATAAAACAAACACACCGCAGCTTTAAAATCTGTGTTTTTATTTGATCTTTTGTGTGAGAGCATTGGTTACCCACTGTTTAACACATATATTTCGTATTGGTGTGATCATTTTATCAGCCACCTGTAAAGAACTCCAAACTGCACTAACCTACATGATAGGTGCTATTCAAGTTCGCATTGCATCTGATTTTCACCTGGAACAGTTTGGCGGCTGTGCTGGAAGCAGGCCATGCAGGTGCGGAATCAAGCTGAAAACTAAGCAAGCAGTTTTCTACATGATGTCAGGTTTCTGCAATGACATTCAACTCTGTGGGTATTTTATGATAAGTGGTTTAATGGTAGTACAATGGTAGTGTAGTGAGTCAGCTGTTTAAAAAAATAAGGGCTACTGCACTTTCTAGCAGGTACAATACACCAATAACCACGAAAGAATTTCCTGTAGTTTTTGACGCCCTCCCATCTGGTGTACATATGTTATTTAGGAATGTCGACCACTCTCTGCCTTTGTCCCTGACCCAATTCAATCTCCATTAGCAACAGTTTATTTTTCTTTTAATGAAGGTATAAACCTCAGGATCAGAAGTTCATTTATCAAGAGAAAATGTCTTTTGTCACTGCAGTGTAGTTGCCTGTGAAGTTGTGGATGTGATAGTATTCTCCCTAAAAGATGGAGGCTGATTTGAATGTGATCTATCCACAGCGCCTTGAGCACATTGGACGACTGGGTGCCAGCTGCACTTAACAAAACTGTCATCACAAACACAGCATTATTCAGTTACACTGACATACAATCAGAGCATTCACAATTATCACTCAAAATCTGCAAACACAGGCGCTTAGAAACTGCTGTTCATGGTTTGCATCTCAGTCTCTCTTTCTCTCTCTCTCTTAGCAAGCAGGCTAAGAAACCAGAATGAGCCCCACAGCCGTTTGTGCTGTAAAATGGAAAAATAAAAACGCTAATGTGTGTGTGGATGAGGCGCTAACCATGAAATGGAGTACAGGAGATTGATAGATGGACAGACAGACAGAAAATGTCACTGAGTTCAGTTTCTTAACCTGCTTTCCTTTCGTGGTTGTAGAACTTTGGGCCCTTGGGGAACTTTTGGAAACTTGCTTTTTTATCCCGAGGTAACAAAATAATGAACTTGTGATCTCGAGATAACAGCATTAAAAAAAAGTTGAATCTATGACCGTTTAGGGCCTCCATATATTAGGCTACATGTATAGAAACAAAATATTTGCCACAGCTGTACAAAGTTACAGCCTTTTCAAGACTTTGCTAACTTTTTAATTTAATTTGTGTTTATCTGTTCATCCTTTTTTAAATATTATATAGGATTTTCATCTGCTGCTCAAGTGACTTGATGTCAAGACTACGACGGAGTATTAGGGCCATACTAAGAGAGAAAAAAATATATATTTTTGGGGAAATTACGAGAATAAAGTCATAGTATTCGGTCTACGAGAATAAAGTCATAATATTACGAGAATAAAGTAGTAATTCTATGAGAACTGTCAGCCTGTTGGCTCAGCCAGCAAAACTGTTTAACGACGATATTATCAATACGTTAGTTTACATGTTGACTGAGACAACCAGCGGCTGCTGGGCTCAGGCTGAGGCTGCTGATTGGTTGAGCTGCTCACGTCAGATCTTCATCACTCTATCGAAGCTTTTTTCTCATTAAAACAACTTTTTTTCTTGTATTTTTATTATTACATTATTCTCGTATTATTACGACTTTATTCTCGCAGACCTAATATCATGACTTTATTCTCGTAATTTCCAAAGAAATCTTTTATTTCTTTTTTCTTAGCCTGCCCTAATACTCCATCGTACCAGACAGACACTACATTACACAAAGTTTAGCCTTACTCTTTCGTCATTTTTAATATAAAATGTCAAACTTTTGAGAAACTATCTCATAATCTTACTATAGTAGTTTTTATTTTTGCTATTTCTAAAATTCAATCAGTTTTTTCCTGGCGGAAATGGTTTGGCTCTGAATCAGATCTCCACAGCATGTGAACAGGTTCTCTGCCCACTGGTTTCACTACATGCTGATATACAGATCTGTGGTCTGACGCATGCGTCGTGTAGCCAAATCGAACAGGCTCATGGGTACAGGAAGTTGAAAATGGCGATGGACGGAATGATGTCCACGTCTTCGGGTCTGTCTTACCACAATGTCGGGGACTTTTACCCCAGAAAGTTCGGCCCGAAGCCGGACGTGGTGCCGTCCGGGGTGACCGAGAGGAAAGTGGGGCCGCTGGATAAACCTGACATGGTGTCGGTCGATGTCATTAACATCAATGATTCAGGTTTGTTATGCTAACAGGCTAGCAGCTAACAACACGTAGTCAAACAGGCGGCTCTGCTAACTTAGCTAACAGCTGTTTCTGAGTTTGGCTGGGAAGTTTTTCAGTTTATGTCGCTGTTAGCTGGCTTTAATGACAGCGCCGACGGTAACGTTGTCTGTAACGGCCAGTGTGAGCCAGTGTAGAGCTCTGTCTGTGTAGAGCTCTGTATCTGTTTAGAGCTCTGTATCTCTGTGTAGAGCTCTGTATCTCTGTGTAGAGCTCTTTATCTCTCTTTTTAGAGCTCTGTATCTCTGTGTAGAGCTCTGTATCTCTGTGTAGAGCTCTTTATCTCTCTTTTTAGAGCTCTGTATCTCTGTGTAGAGCTCTTTATCTCCCTGTTTAGAGCTCTGTGTCTCTGTGTAGAGCTCTGTATCTCTGTTTGGAGCTCTGTGCATCTGTGTAGAGCTCTGTATCTCTGTTTGGAGCTCTGTATCTCTGTTTGGAGCTCTGTGTATCTGTAGAGCTCTGTATCTCTTTTTAGAGATCTGTTTAGAGCTCTGTGTATCTGTGTAGAGCTCTGTATCTCTGTGTAGAGCTCTGTGTCTCTGTTTAGAGCTCTGTGTATCTGTGTAGAGCTCTGTATCTTTGTGTAGAGCTCTGTATCTTTGTGTAGAGCTCTGTATCTTTGTGTAGAGCTCTGTATCTCTGTTTGGAGCTCTGTGTCTCTGTGTAGAGCTCTGTGTCTCTGTTCGGAGCTCTGTGTCTCTGTTCGGAGCTCTGTATCTCTGTGTAGATCTCTGTCTCTGTGTAGAGCTCTGTGTCTGTTGGTTTTTTTTTCAGTTAATCTGTCCAACTTTAAAACTGAGGTTGAAGCTGTATATTTTATATATTTTTATATACTGTGGTAGGAGTGTGTGACCTGTGTGAAATCTTTTCTATTGAACCTGTTATAGCTAGAGAGCAGGGAAGCAATTTATGGATAAATTAGTCTGGAATTAAATACTTGACACATAAACAAACTTCATAACATTGAGGCAAAAAAATGAGTGATGAAAAATGAGTGATGGTATTAAGGCTCAAAGACATCAGTTTCACTTCTCAAAAGGAAATGTGCATTGTTTTGTACAATTTCTACCATACCTCAGAAATATAAAGGATTCTTTAATTTGATAAAGAAAGTATAATAGAAATATAAGAGATGATCGGTATCAGGAGTTGTATGGAATTGTAAGTTAAGTGTATTGTTAAGTCTCTATCACTGATCCACTTTAGGCATAAATAGTAAAAAGATCCTCCAGGTTTTCTTCCAGAAAGTTGACAGGCAGAGTTGCTCATAGCTGATGAGATCCTGTTGCATCTCATCTCATTAGGAAAACGGTTTAAACAAATGTCTCACACATCAAATACGTGTCCTATACAATGGTCCTATAGCCACTACAGTATAGTGTATCCTCTCGTCATGTGGTTGCATTGTGTTGTTTACAGGCCGACCATTGTTGTCAGACCCGGGGTATCTGGTCTCTAGAGACAGTAAGAGGTCTTACTGTCCCCCACACAGTCATTCCCTTCTTCTTCTTTGGTTATACTGGACCTCTAGCCGCCATACTTTTTCGTTATTAATATTTCTTAGACAGTTATTTATATTTTGAATATAGTGAGTATTTTATTTAATTATTAAAAGTCAAGGTATCTGTACCTGTATTGAAACATTTTGAACAATATCCAGCCCTAATCTGCACACCTTGAGTCGCTGTAAGTAAGTCTGTCTTTCTGGAGTTCAGTATCGTGTCATATGTTCCCTCAGAGTGTGTGTTGTTGTTATTACATGTTGACATGGCATTTGTATTCCTCCACAGATGTCCACATGCACAGGAAGAAGCATGAGCATGATACGTACGTCTTGGTGAGTGACTTATCTCAAAGTCTTTGATTACCTCCCTCCAGAGGGGAACATGCACGCACACAAATTCCATCCAAACAAACTCAGAGCTCATAGAATTTGTGGTTTGTGTATGAATGAAATTCTGCTCATTGGGCTAGAAGCTTCTGTCTCATTTTTGTGAAGCACAAAACTGATGATGTTCCTTTATCCACCTTGTTGCATTGCAGGCTAAAGTTTAAATGTTCACCCTCCCCACACACCTGTCTAAGAGATGAGCACACCACATGACTGTGGAAAATCTAGTGTACATAAATCCAACCGTTTGAAGCACAGTATTAGTACTAATACCTTGCTGTTGGTCTGGCTGTCTCTCCTTCTACAGTTTGGTGACCACTTAAAAAAACCCACCACCCATGTTATGTGCTGTGGTACAGCAGGTTATCCAGTGAACAAGCATGTTAATACTGTTGCACTGAAACTTCTTAACAATGATTCTCATTAAGATGCTACTGAGACTGTGTAAAAGAGAACACAATTATATTGTTCTTATTATTATTATATTATTTACAACACAACACCGGCAACTCTCTGCATTTGTGTATTGTGTCCTTGTCTTCACAGTTTGATCTGCATATGGTAAACTGTCGCATCTGTCTCACTTTCCATTTATTTGAAATGTATTAGTCAGGAAAGGTCAAACTCAGACGGGGCTTAATCTTCATTTCTTGATCTCTATTCATGTCTCTAAAGATTGTCTAGACCAGTATGTTTAAAACTTCTAAAAAGACTGAAGAATGGACTTTTTTTCTGGAAATGATGGCTTTTTGGACTAGTAGGATCTTTGTGTAAAGAAGCCAAAAATGGTTGCTATTTTTAAATTCTTAGTTTGGCACAACAAGTTACTTATTGTAAAAATATAAACAGAATCTTTTAGGACTTTTCGGGCTCCATATGAATCTATGTAAAATTAGAAAAGTAAAAATGTATGTGTGTTACATTTGTTGTTACAGTTTTCAGTTTTTTACTTCTGTTTAAAGGAATGTTTGGTCTTATTTGGTTTAAAGGGATGGGTTACTTTGGAAAGCCTATACCTAAACAGCAAGGGCCATTATTAACAGCTTAGAAAAATCTGCTTGTTTTATGTAAAAAGTGTGTTTTTAAATTCGCTTAAGAAAATAATCTTCACCTGCAGATATGTTGTTATCTCTTCCTCAACCTGAAATTCCTCTTGAGTCAGAGTTTTGAATAAAGTTGCCCTGCAGGATCCAGTTTAGCTGTTATACACTGATGCACCACTTAGTGGCAGTGTCGGTCACACATTGCCTCCTACTCTCCTTCGCTGTCAGAGACTTGATGAACTTGATTGTACTGAAATGAATCTAAATGTATGTATATCTATTAATTTAATATTAATTATCATATGTTTAATTTGCAGGGCACCATTCATCCATTCAGGAAGACACACAGATCCATTTTTGGAAAACTCGTGCAAGAATTCAGACTGGTCTCCTCAGATAGACGGGTAAGAGAGAGTGTGTGTGTGTGTGTGTCTGTGTGTCTGTGTGTCTGTGTGTCTGTGTGTGTGTGTGTGTGTGTGTGTGTGTGTGTGTGTGTGTGTGTGTGTGTGTGTGTGTGTGTGTGTGTGTGTGTCTGTGTCTGTGTCTGTGTGTAATGTAATAGTTGTCAGCTCTGGTATTTTATTTTTACTTATTTACTTTTTTTGATCATCAAACAACTAAATCCGCCTGGTACTCATCATCCAGACCTCATCTTGGTTTGCACTCAGTAGTTAGCGTCTGCAGAATCCTCACTTTATAATCCCATTCTGCTGTAAGATGGTTACATTGTGTGTCTCATACACACAGTCAAACTCAAACACCTCCAGTAATCCTGTTTTCCAAGCAGGTCACCATGTTCTAGTGAAAGCAGCAGGGATGAAGCTCTTATAGTAAAATACCATTAGCCACGAGCTGAATTAGTTCTGACCGATAAATCACATTTTCATCATCAATGTGGTATGAACATGCACGAAAAGACTGATACGTGATGAATAAGAAAGATCATTTTATGTAGGCATGAGTACTGAGGCCGCGTATTAGCTGGGCCCCAGGGTTAAAGACTAGTATTTGGTATCACGCTGCAGCCTCTCCCTGCTCTCTGTCGGGGTTAAGTTCTCCACATACACACATGCAGAGCGAAGACAGTGATGATATCTGAAAGATTACTCGAGTTAACGACAGCTACTCTCGTTACTGAAAGTGAGTGCAATCACACCTTCTATTGTAAAACGCCAGTACTTGATCAATACACCTGTCCAACAAGCATAAACATGATGACATGATGATGTCTGTGTTCTCCTTTATTTCTAACCTTCACTCAGTATTGTGATGCCAGAAGTATGATTTATTTTATTGACATTGCCATTTGTTTCCAGTGAGATATTATTGAGTGTATATAGTGTGACTTTGCTTTTGTAAACATTACTGTTGCTGCTCTAAAAACAACATGTGGTTATATTAATAATATTCAGTTCTAATTCTGTTCTGAATTTAAAGACAAGCAGGCTGATATTCTTATATTTACCTCAAGGTAAGCAAGTCTTATCCTCATCGCACTATTGAAGTGTTATTGCACATCTCAGGTCTTCTTCATATCGTGGCCTAAGCTGAATGCTGGTCCACTTTGTCTGGTAGGCTGACCTGTCCTCAAGGAAGGCTTCCACCTGTAGGCTCTATATCTGCTGCTGTGGCACTGCTTTTGCTTTTTATCGCCGGAACTTGAGAAGCCCTACACCAAACTAGAAAGACTAAAAGACCCTTTTTTTTTTAAAGTAAAGAGAGAGGGGATGACATGCAGCAAGGGGCCGCAGGTCAGATTCGAACCCAGGCCGCTGCAGCAACTAAGTATATGGGTCGCCAGCTCTACCGACTGAGCTAACTAGGCGCCCACTAAAAGACCTCTTAATACAGTTCTCCACCAAATATATGCTTTTAGAGTATCAAGCATCAGCTATGGTCTTCTTGGGTTCATGTCAGATACAGTAAATTGCAATAATACTTAACGCTGTGTTAAAATGTTCTTGAACCAGTTCTGCAACCAGTTCCACCAAGCATCACCGCCATCTGATTATTTGTTCTTCTTTCTGGGTCAGTAATTATTTAGAGTGCAGTGGAAATTAGACCTCGTTTTGACATTAAAGAGCTCACTTATGATTTGATAGCATTTTGGGTTACAGGGGGTAAACCACTCAACATGGACTAATATGATGGAAAAAGCTCATATCAGTAAGGCAGTAAAATAGTTTTTCTTGTGCAAATGCACCACACAGAGCTACTTTTTGTAAGGTCTCTAGATAATTCTTGGCTGGGACACCGATTTGTAAACTCAGCTAGGAGCTTTCCTGCTAAATAAGTTAGAACAATTCTGGTCCAGTGAAAAAAAGACTTTCACAGTACAATTTAAAGTTCTTAGTACTTCAGTCAAACAAAAATGATAGACGTTTCCCACTTCTGACCTTACAATTTATCGCCAGCCATGACTGAATGCAGGACACCACAGGTTCCCAACGGGAAATGGACATCTTTTCTGTTATTGAGTAAACTGACAACTGAGTGACATATTTTAGGGATATTTCATACTGTGCATAACAACTGATAAACTGTACAATGAACCCAAACAGTAAACACATAACTGCAGGAAGTTTGTGTAAAATGGTTGATAGGTGTAATCTAGACTTAAAAAATAACTATTTAATTGTATTTAAAAAAAATTATGAAATGCTGTCAGGCATACTGCCTATTCAAAATCAGTCTAACACCCCTTAAAATAAAGAAGACCCTGTTACCCCCATAAAGCTCTGGCAACCCCTAGTGGGGGTTGGGACCCCCAGGTTGGGAGCCAGTGCAGTATACTAGTAGTTCCCAACCTGGTATAGAAGCTTAGCAAGTTTGTTAGAAATGATGAAACCACTTGCAGTAACAGTTTTGAATATGATATGCAATACTTTAGAGCCACTTGTGCCCTGTTTGCCTGTCTCCTGCTCTATGCACCAAACCAAAACTCTCCCAAGTTATCCTCAAAATCACCCAAAGCCTGTCCCTGTTGGTCTTTTTGAGCATGATGACTGCTTCTGTGTCTGCCACACTTTACTTTATGATGATTTAATTGCCAGGAAAGGGCCTTCTCCTACTGCATGCTGTGATCTGCCTGATAAACATAAATTACATATTCCACATCAGCACCAACTCTAAACTCACTGCTATGAAAACAGTGAACAACGGTCTTTCCCGAAAAAACATGTTAGCTTTAAATGCTTGGAATGTTGTTTTTTTACACAGAGTACATCAAAAAAAGTAATAGTGCACCGTGCATCACAACAAAACAGGGACAGATGTAGAGTTTAAGCAAAAAATGGATTGTAGAAATTGCAGAGAAAACACTGGAGAGATGATAATGAATGTGAAAGAACCTCAGACATGATTGTTTTGTGTGTGTGTGTCAGTGTTATTGTGCTATAATCCACTTTGACCACACACTGGCAGGGGGTCTTGCTTCCCCATAGAGCCTTGGATTGGATTACACGGTGTCGTACACGGCTTAGGGGCCAAACATAGTTCAAACCGGCGAAAGTTGAGATGTGCTTCCTCAGCACCTCATCGCCCTCGTCTCAGGTCTCCTGTTACCTTTTGTGTTGTGAAATAAACCAAAGTCTTGTCAACATCCGATTTCAGGTACAGTTTGACTGATACAGGAGTTTTTACAGGCGGATACAGCAGCATATTTTACACCAGAGTCGCTGATGGATGATATTTTGTGCTGAAATCTGTTATCTTTAAATCTATATGTCAGAAACCGACTCTAGACCTAAGTGCTTGTTGAATTGACGAGCTCTGGAAATATCCTCCCCACACACCTTTCCAACAGCAGAATTCTAGCGAGTTACAGTTTTTGTGCTTTCCAAAGCTGATGATCTGACAAGCCCACCCACCGTATGAATGTTCAGGTGTGAGAGGATGCAGGATTTTAACTTATCTCTCTTCTCACAACTACTTCTGTTACCTTTCATGTGAACAACCGAGGGTAACACCATGAATACCTTTGAGGATAGACATGTCCCTCTCATGAGCCTTACCCCTTAAAACGTCTACTAAAAGCAAAAACATTTAATTATTTGCCCATGTTTAAAGGACCAGTGTGTAGGTTTAGTGTTATCTCGCTGTGAGATTGCAGATTGTAACCAACGGAATACTGCTCGCCTTGCAGCTTGTGAAAAATCTACAGCTGTGTTTGATTTGTCTGTCCTGAGCTACTGTAGAAACACGGCGGACTCCGTAGAAGAAGAAAAGAGGCACTGGTTGCCAACCTAGGGGTCGCCAGAGCTTTGCTGGGGGTTGTGAGGCTTTCTTGATATTAACTTTAAAAATATATCTACTGTAGGACTATATCTCAGCATTTGGTTCATTTTTGTGAAGAAAACTAAACAAAATTATTTTTAGAGCCTTCAAGCTCTGCTAAACAGCCTCGTTCTGCATTATATTATATAAAGTATGCAGTTAAAACAACCAAAGAGCTAATAGATCAATGGGAAAAACACTGAATTTGTCTATTAAGTATGTATCATTTTAAAAAATTATAAAGAATAATAATACAGACATAGGATTGTATGAGAAATTCCTAAAAATATCAAAACACATCTCATAAATGACTTGTTTTACACAAACTTCCGACAGTTATTGTGTTCACAGTTTGGGTTCATTGTACAGTTTACAGTTGTTCTCTACTGTTATTGTTATGCATTAAATATAATATGAAATATCCATAAAATATGTCACTTTGTCAGGGATTCTCAGTTTAGTCAAGTAGTGGGAACCACTACTCTAAGGTAACAAACACGATTCTTAATTTTCAAGTCATTCTACACAAAAGACCTGTGATAAGTTTATGAATATTATATTCCATTTCTGCCAATAGAGCTGCATTTAAAGGGCCTCCTTATAAATCAGTCCTCCTCATCCCAGGGTGGACCAGGAAAGACAGTTAGTCTCTAAATCTTCTTTTAAAGAACAGGGTCAGAATGTGCTCCTGTGCTTTTGACCTCATCTGTAAAACTGTGAAGTGCAAATTGTTAGAATAAGAATTAATACAAATCAAACAAATGTATTTGTAGTGTCAGCAGACTTCCTCCATCACTCCTTACTTAATCAGAAATGATAAAACTGTGCATAGATCATCTATGCAGTCTATTGCAAGGCACTCATCATATTGAATGCTGTTGCCTACTGGACACTGAGTGATAGTATTCTTCCTCCACAAAATTGGGAGACTTGTGGAAAAAACAGATTTAAAAAGTCACGTTCAATATTGAAGCAGCAGAGGCAGTGCAATGCAACTCACTACTGTGTCCTCATTAGACCCTGTAGACCTCTCTTCGGATTTCTCACGACTAGTAAACTCAACGTGTATGGGTAAAATCAGTTGTGTTCCCTGTTAACTGTAGCCCTAAGAATAGTAATAGACTCCGTTCACCATGTCCGTTGTACAGTTCATGTTTATAGACATTGCGGTTTGAGCTCATCAGACACTGTTGCAGTAACAAAATGTCCCGATGAAACTGGAGCAGGGACAGCAGGCAGTCAGCAGAGGAAAGACATGACTGGAGGACAGGGGAGTGAGAGGACCAGGCGTCCTCTCGTTTCTGCTGTAGCAACCCAGTCGGAAAACTCCTCTGTCCATGTTAACAGGCTGCCGCCGCCCGCCGCTGCCGCTGCTGATTCATTATGTAAGTAGGTTTATTTTGAGAGGAGAACACGGCCACCCTGGAGAAACAGAGCCCTGACGGCTCCGATCTGAGTAGACAAAGAGTGGGAGAGGACATTTTTTGTCTTCTCATTGCCACTGGAAGTGAGCCCTGGCAGTTTGCGTTGGCGGCATGCTGCAGGTTTTAGTTTGGTCAAAAAAAATCCCCTCATACATACTCCCTGACCGTTATGAAGAAACTGACTTCTCCTTCTTGCTCTTCCTCTTCCTCTTCCTCTCTTCTTCAGAGGATAATATGAGTCACGCCTCTACTCACCATGGTGACACACATTTGCTCGGCACTGGCCGGTGATGCGGCAGCATGGCATGGTGCTCAACAATGATGTAATCAGGCCTGGCGTCAGTGGGGGCTCCTTATTTAATACAGTACCTGGTGACTGAGCAGCTGTACGGGCGATGCAGCTCTGTCACTCCAATGTCACATGTAACCTCAATATGTTGGCATGCCGTTATGCCGGCGGACAGCCAGGCGTCGCCACTGACGGACGGACGGGGGCAGCAGTGCGTCAGGGTTTAACAACTGTGCACTCTCCTCCAGGCGCTGAGTGTATGTGTACGTGAAGGGGGGTTGGGAATGTTTTGGACCAAATGCTGTCTCTCTGTTTGCACACACAGGCACATGCACGCATCCATGCACACAAACACACACACACACACACACACACACACACACACACACACACACACACACACACACACACACACACACACTGTAGGTCTCCCATGCCTGTCGCTGGCTAGTGCTGTCACCAGACGCCCCAGTGCTGTCATAACACAGCACACCACAGTAATTGTAGATTTCACAGCACTCGGCGCTCCCCACCACGGCATATGACTCCAACACGAAGTGACAGGCCAGGACACACACACACACACACACACACACACACACGTTCCCTTGTTCCATTTCTTGTCTCTCTTCCTCCTGACACACACAAACTCTCTCTCTCTTTCTGCTCAGAGGGCAAGTTTAGACTCAAGGTTTTATTTTTATTTTTTCTTCATTGAAAATTCTGCTGAATTGACATCCAGCCAGATGGAGTAAGAACACTGTTGAATGGGCTCAGATACAGATTGTATGGGGCAAAAAAACCTGGTCTTTGTTATACAGCAAGATTGTTTTACCCATGAAAGACAACTGCATTTGTCCAAACAGTTAAACAACCTATCTTTACATTGCCCTGAGAGGTGACTTGTGGTTGTTGTGTGAGTAAGAACGGTCGTCTCTCAGAAACAAAGGAGGAAGTAATAAGGTGACCTTAATGTCCAACAAAACCTCATAGGAAGGTCTTTGTTCTGGACTTAAACACCAGAGACCGTTGTTCACATCCTGTCCCCTACCAACAGTCAGGCCTCAATCTCCTAACCTTGACCAGTTAGTTTTGGTTGCCTAATACTAAAAAGTATAACATTGAGAAATATCTAAACTAATTAACTTTTCCACTAGGTGGGCACTTTGCAGGCTATGCATCCAAAACTTATAAATGTACAGTCACCTTCCTCAGGTAGCCTTGGTAGATTTCATCAGAAAATAGCACAAAACTCATGCAGTTAAACAAAAATGAAAGATGAAAAGGCTATGGCCACCATGGCTCGTGCAACATGCATAAATACATAGCGTAAATCAAATAGCTTGGTACTTCCTATACAGCAGTATAAATGCTGCGCTGCAGCACATAAACACAGTCACACTGAAGCCAAAAGAGACAGAGCACATTCTTTACACACTGTACCGTATAGTGGACTTGTGAGGTTGTAGACTGAGCACCCAACATTTGTTACTGTGACTGGGATTATCAAGTAGTAGCAGAAAGCTCAACTAAAGAACTCATGGCTAGATTATCCATTAAAGTCAGCCCCAGCATGCACCTGTTGGCCGGCATGTGGATATGTTGACTTTGGGTCGCTTAGAATGGCAGAATTTTTAATGTGTGTTTTTATTCTGCCTGTAGACTCATAGATTCATCAGAAGATGATTAATAATAAACTACCAAGTCCCTTAATACTTGTTCAGTATATTAAAGTTGCAGTTAGAGCTACATTCCTTGCAAATACATTTCTAAAATATATAGTGTGAAAATCTGCAGATATTACTGATGAGCAGAGCTGCTCTTTCTCCGCAGCCTGTTCTCTGCTCTCACGTCCTCTGAAAGTGACCTTCCCCTGAGCTGGTATTTTTGTGATGAACTGATTCAGACTGTAGCGAACATGTTAGGCCACACGGCCAGGCCTTGTTCAGTCAGAGAATTCCCCCAAATCTCAGACATACCAGGTTGACCACGGGGTAGGCAACTCACTCTCCATCCAGCAGCAAAACACAGCAGCTCCCAGTTGGTTTGTAGGTTTGGATTTAGATTAGACAGCGGCTGGTCATCTGCCAGAGTGTCTGCTGCGGGACGCTGACTGACAGTCGGGGAAACCCTGCTCAGCCCACGAGAACTCTCACTCCCTCCATGCTGTGTGGTTGTTGCATTTGTTGGACCATCAAAGTTAGCATTTTATTCAGAGCTTACATTGTCATAGGCAACTTTTACAGTACTATAGGAGAGGACGCAGTAAGTCGGGCTGGTAGTTTGCTTTTAGTCCGGACAAAGGACGTCAGAGGACCAAGGTTTAAGAGTCACAGATCAGAGTAATGGCAAAATGGTTGCTTTTTATAGTATTGGAGAATACTACCTACATTTGCTGTGAATATAATCAAATATGGTGAGTTATGGTGGAGAGGGGGGTCATGCTTTTTCCCCTAGTCAGTCAGGGAGGCTCAGTGAGAAATATTTTTTTGGGGGGCTCATGATAAAACACAAACAGATAAATAACAAACAGTCCCTATCTATGGATTTCCTGTCCTTCTCTACTGATAATCAACATTTGGTTTTAACTGGAAATTTTGGCTTTTAAATTAGTCTTTAGTTCATTTCCAGTTTCCATTAAAAAAGGCCTTAGGATGTTTTTCACTGATTTAATATAATTTAGGTTAGTTTTAAAACGCCTAATAACAATATATTAGCCAATAAATTGTTTGATAAGAATTGTTCTGTACTCAGGGGACCTTTTTTAGTGCAAAGTGTCAGTGTTCTCTGGTAGACAAATTATTTCAAAAGTTCTCTGACAGTTTTTACATTGACACTGATATTTCTGTGATAATCTGAAATCGTCCGATAAATTGACTAGTCTCAAAATTCTCATCAGGAATTAAGTATGGCATGATTTTGTTTTTTTTTTTCTCCTAAAGGAACATTACATAAAGGAATAAGATCCCCATCAGTCCATGTGCATAATGAATGACCCCTGTGGGGGGTCAAAGGTTGAGCCACTCTGCTCCTTTTGTCATTGTTCTTTAACAGTTATTTTGTCTGTTTGTTGTCGTTTCCAGTCGTGGAGGATCCTGCTGTTTGGGGCTCTCAACCTGCTGTGTACCGGCTGTCTGCTGATGTGGTGCAGCTCCACCAACAGCATGGGTGAGCACACACATCCAGACTCACACACACACATAAAACAAACGCAGTGACAGAGGGAGATGCAGATAGACACATGCAAACTGACACACACACACACACACACACACACACACACACACACAGATGTACACAGGCTGGCAGAAACACACAAAAAAAACCCCACTCTTTGAGACTCGGACACAGACATTAACACATGGAGATACCTGTCTACACACAGTAAACACAGATTGACAGTTACACACACTTAAACACATGCACATGGAAGCATGTGTGAGTGCTGCAGCTTTATGCACACACACTGTGAAGTCTTTAGGAAGTGTGTTAGCAGTGTCGTCTCACCAGGGGGGCTACTACTGCTGCTGATGTAGGTGTGTGTGTGTATCTGTATATACTGTATGTGTGTGCGTGTGTTTGAGGGGGGCACCTCAGTCAAAATATGGCACTTTAAAGGGCATGTTGAAGAAACAGAGTCCTTCACAGCGTCTGTTTTTACCCTCCGGTGCTACAACACAGAGAACACATCTGTCATATTGACGAGCACATTTTTTTCCCTCTCCATAAACAGGGTGCCCCAGGGTCTTAAAACGTGTCAAATCAAAGAATCTGAATTTTAGGCTTTGAAATGTCTTAAATATGATTTTGACAGGTCTTAAAAATTGATTGAATGAATGAAGTTGACGTTACTTGTGTAAAGCTGCATTTTTCAGTCTCACTTTTAATGGTGTTTTTGCGAAACATTTGTATCAATCATGCTCTAACAACTACAAAATGAAGCCAACATGGAACCAAATACCGATCCCCCTTCATATGCTTTGTACTTTTTTTTAGGCCAGTATAGAGATGAAGTAGGTTTTTAATTGCATTCATAATGGTATTTAAAAGTCTTGTTATTTATTTTCAGTTTATAACAACTCGAGTCCTATTCTTCTAGTTTGGTCCATCAATTCTATCAGTAACTAGACGGACTTATTTGGGAGAGACAATGAAGGTTGACATTAAAATTGTTACCCAAATGGACTAGGGCTGGGCGATATATCGATATAAAAAATATATCGATATATTTTTAAATGTGATATATATCGATATAGTTCAGATTTGCGCTGTGGTCCTTGCTCCAAGCAAGCTGCTGACCCGGAGCCCTCTGCACTGCTCCCCGCGCCCCCGCCACCACCCCTCCTCTTTCAATAACCTAACGTAATGTTTGTGTTCACATCCATAATTTAGACTGTAACGTTGTCAGACTGTTAGGTTAGCTAACTGCTGAGTAATTAACTGATGTTATAGGTAACTTAACCTGCTAACATTAGCTAACGTTAGCTTGTTAAGCTCGGCATGATTTATGTTAGCAAAACCCAACGTTAATATTGAGTGTGGTTTTAGTCGGGATGGGTTGCTTGTTCTGTTTACAGGCAGCAAATCTTTATCATGTCATTAACGTTATGTTACTAACGTTACAGACACTTGTTGCTGAGTCAACCTAATGTACAGCTCAGTAATAGCGTTAACCTACGTTACGTTGTTTTAACGTAATTGTACTTGCTTGTGTAATAACGGTAGCAGTTTTGGTGAGTGGTAACAGCCTTACTGCCTTCTGAAAATATTAATTTAAAAGTTATAATGCAGTCTAACTTCTGGTCACAACGTGTGTGTAGGTGTGTATATGTGTGTGTGTGTGTGTGTGTGGAGAGAGAGAGAGAGAGAGAGAGAGAGAGAGAGAGAGAGAGAGAGAGAGAGAGAGAAAAAAAAAAAAACTGAACATTTGCTCTCACTTTGTGGAAAAAATACCGGGATTTATATCGTATATCGATATTCAACCTAAATATATCGGGATATGACTTTTGGTCCAGATCACCCAGCCATAAAATGGACCAGCTTCCTGCTTCAGGTTTGACCTACTGTACTTACTGTAGCCGTGAGCACACAATTCGCAGTCAGATCGTCTGACTGCTCCTGTTCCCAGGTCGAAGATATGAACTTGACGAGTACAGTGTTGTAATTACTGATAATGATTAGTTGTAATAAACAATATTCGCTTTTTCACTGTTAACACTGAAAAACTAATCAAGTACATAAATCTTACTTTTCCTGCATTGATCAGACCACTAAAGCATCTCTTGCTGATGTTTCTGCATTGTTTGTCATTGTAAATGCACCGAATACAATGGCAAATATGTGACCAGATAAAGCCCTACATTGGGCTTTGATTGTCGCTGCCTACGGTCAGAAATGTTCACACAGTCTCTTTCACACAGTCTCGTTCACTGCCCCAAGTTTCCTGTCACCTGCAGTTCATTGCTTCATGTCGACGGGTACTCTGCTGTGGTTTTTATTCTGGCGGGGGATTTTAGTGTCCTGTGATGTGTCCAAATACTGTTGCAGAAAATCCTGTTCTGCTCTGGGAGTATTAAGTACTGAGAGTTTTGGGCTTTTTGAATATGTGCATGAAATATTGGTTGTCAGTAGCTTCCATAAATACCAGTGTTGGTCTCAACTGTGAAAGTGTGTTTGTGTTCCGTAGTGTGCTGTGTGAGCAGAGCAGCAGCACTTAAAACCATTTCTCTGCCTCAGCTGAGCTGTCCACTGGCTTCGCTCTGGACGATGTGACGAGCTTATATTTAGGACGCCAAAAGACACGCACACACACGCACGCACACACACGCACACACGCACACACACACACGCACACACGCACACACACACACGCACACACAAGAACAAATTCAAACTTCCATATAGGCAGCAGTGCTTGCAGGTATGGGAGACCATGGGAGCCAAGTGTCTAGATTTTAAGGTTAAAGAGGAAGTAAGGTCTGTGGGAGAGTGCAAGTTTATTAAATTGATGAATTTTGTTGGCCTCTTCAGTAGGGGTGGGTAAAAATATCGATTCACCAATGCATTGCAATATATTTTTTCCCAATTCAATATCGATTCATTAAATCCTCTGAATCGATTCAAGCCCCTGGCCAGTGGGGGCACGTTGAGCAACACCTCTGTGTGATTTGCATTGTAGGGACGGAGGCCGCATTCGACCACACAACCACAACATGGCAACCAACGCAGTTAGCAGCAGTGTTAAACCAGCGCCTTCAACTTTAAAAGCAGTGTAAACCCGGAACACAGGAAATAGACAAAGGTAAGGTAGTGCGTAAGCTGTGCCAGGCAGTACTAAAATACTGCAATAACACAACAAATTTGCGCAACCACTTAAGCCGACACCATGCAGATGCTCTGTAGTAACCCGCGGCTAAACCTGTGGATTCAAAACAGACGCAACTCAACAGATCCTTCCTTTGCAAACTGCCGCCAAACTCTGCCCGCGCACAGAAGATAACAGAGTCTGTGGCCGTCTTCATATGTAAAGGACCTACGACCGTACAGTGTCATGGAAAACGGGGGTTTTAAGAAGATGGTATACACACTGGAACCAAGATACGCAATACCAACACGCAAACACATGACAGAAATCGCCGTCGGTTTTGGAGTCGTTGAAGTCGGCACTGAATCGATATCAAAGCATTTAAATCAATATCGAATCGAATTGTGACCTAAAGAATCAAAATCGAATCGTGAGGTTCTTAACAATACCCAGCCCTACTCTCCAGATAGATTGAGTATTTGAGAGTCAGTAACGTTAAACAGAAGTCAGTTGAATGTTTTTGGGTCTTTCATCAGAAGCTGCGTTTCCATCTAAATGTATCACAAAAGAAAATGAATGAATACTTGTTTATTAGGAGTTGTTTCGTTGAGATAAGCAGCAGTTGGTGCCAATTCTCCAGTCAGAAAACCAAAAGAAGAGGAAACAAAAGGATGAGGTAATTAAAAGAGCTGCAGTCAAACCTCAAACAGTGAAAAACAATTTTCTGTTAGTTTTTTGTATTGATGTGAGGAAGGTCCTATCAGATCTGTGTGCAGTGATCATGGATGTATTATAGAGCCATGAGAGCGATGAGGAGACTGTTGGACCAGAACAGCTCATCAGTTAAGTTTTGTCAGAACTTTTTTGGCAAAGTTTTTTCAGATTTTGTGATTTCCATCAAACTTTTCTTATGAGATACTTCAAAATGTGTTGATGTAAACATGGCTAATGAAGTCAACTGTAAACATGCACATATTTCTGTGCCACCTGTCTCCCTGCCTTTCTCTCACCTGAGTCCTGCATACAGCTGTGCAGTGAGACAGCTGTGCAGTGAGACACAGTGTTTATGGTCAGCGAGGCTCGTGTCTGCCACCAACATTAAATCCTCTCAGGGATTCCATCACTCAGGAAAATGCTGCCATGAAAAGAACAACATGCAACCTTATCCCAGCTCACCCGCTCTGCCTGCAAATACTGCAGCATAAGCCACACACACACTTACAGCGGCGGCGTCGGGTGTCGCGCAGACAGGAAGCGGAGGACAGGTATCGAACAAAGAGGGAAGGGGACACCGCCGTCGATACTCGGCCCCGATGAGAACAACAGTAGCAGACAACGGCCTGGTCTCAATACCGTCAGTCAGATTCCTCCTCATTTATAAAGTCTCCTCTGCTCACGGGATCAGCAAACCCGACATTCACACATTCAGTCCATCGCCTACTTTACTTGTGATTTTTACATTTTGGAGACTTCCTTGTGAATAAAGAATGATGCTGGTGTTTAAACTTAAAACTCCCTAATTGTATGTGTCTGATAGTGTATTCATATGCCCATATTTGGGTGCCACTACAAAACCGGTAGTTTTTCAGTCTTGGAAAAAAGGTCACCATGGCCTTCGATAAATACAAATTTATTGGGGCATCAAGGCCAAAACTCCCCCACAGTTTAAAAAAAGTAAGCTTAACCATAAACATCTACAGCAGTAAAATGCAACATTAATGCAGCAGTAATATCAATCCAAAAACATCAGATATAATAATAAAAACACCGACAGGAAAGCATTTTACTGCATAATGAAAACATTACTTTCATTACTTCACAGCTTATTCTGTTAGGGCTTGATGATAGAACTGGAGATGATTAA